ACGAGTTCCGGGGCAGCAAGAAGGATGCCATCTTTGCCATGTTCGGACGGGCACAGCCCCCGAAGCAGTTGCCTACGGCGACCTCCGCGAATCCGCTTGCGAAATACCTGCAAGAGAACTTCGTGCGGGTCTTCATCTCCCAACTGAATACACTGGAGGAGGGCGAGGGTGTCGTTGATGCACTGCGGCGGACGTTCCTAAAGCTGAACCAGAGTCTGCACGATTCGCTGTTCGCGATGAGTCGCAAGATGAGCCAGACTAGTAATATGGGTGGCTCGAGTATGTCAGCGGACTTGCGCACCGGGGCATCCGGTGTCGTGGTCTACATCGTCGACAAGAAGATGTACGTGGCGAATGTCGGGAACGCGCTCGTCGTCGTGTCAAGAAGCGGAACTGCGGTCCCGCTGTCCCGCAAACACCATCCATATGATCGCGCAGAGACTGCTAGGATCCGGGCTGCCGAAGGCTGGGTCTCGCCTCCCGGATTGGTCAACGATGAGATCGACATCTCCCGCTCGTTCGGATTCTACCATTTGCTGCCCGTGATCAATGCGCGCCCGGATGTCTTCGAGTACACGCTGACGGAGCAGGACGAGCATGTCATCATCGCCAACCGCGGCCTGTGGGACTATGTCAGTTACCAGACGGCGGTCGATATTGCGCAGCGAACGGACCCGATGACCGCTGCGCAGAAACTGCGGGATTTCGCGATCAGCTACGGAGCCGATGGAAGCACGATGATCATGGTCGTCGGCGTCGCGGACCTCTTCACGCCGGACTACTTCACGCAGCTCGAGAAACGCAAGAACAAGCGACCGGAGATCACGGACCGGACGCTCGTGCGGCTCAAGGATGAGGTCCCTCCGCCCATCGGGCATGTATCGATCGTCTTTACGGACATCAAGGGCTCGACGCATCTCTGGGATGCGAATCCGGGCATGCTCACTGCCATTAAGCTGCACAACGACCTTCTGCGGCGACTGCTCAGACAGCACGGCGGTTACGAGGTGAAGACCGAAGGAGACTCGTTCATGTGCTCTTTCCCCACTGCGCTTGCGGCTGTCTGTTGGTGCATGTCGGTGCAGGTCGAGCTCCTCAATGTGCCGTGGCCGCTGGAGATTCTGGAGTGCGCGGACGGCAAGACTGTGTACGACGACCAGGGGCGGCTGATTGCACGCGGCTTGTCGGTGCGCATGGGGATCCACTGCGGGATTCCGCTTTGCGAGCCGGATCCCATCACGCACCGCATGGACTACTTTGGGCCGATCGTCAATCGTTCGTCGCGTATTGAGGGCAGCGCAGCGGGTGGGCACATTATGTGCAGTACAGATATCATCCGGGAGATCAACGCGAGGATCTTCGACAGCGAGGCCGATCTGTCCGAGTATTCGGAGGCCCAGCCGCAGGAAGCTATCGATGGCATTCGCAGGCTGGATCCTATCGTCATCCCCGTCGGCGAGGTCAGGCTAAAGGGTCTCGAAGCGCCGGAGATGCTGTCGTTGGTGTTCCCGGGCGACCTCATCGGCCGGAAGGATTTCCAGGACGAAGCACCGGCGCCAGATACGTCTGGGTCGCGGGTGCAGTTCAGCATCGAGCAAATGCGTGAGCTTGCGATGCTGTGTCTGAGGCTGGAGATGCCAGGCGGGGTGGGTGTGGGCGATGAACAGGAGGCGTCGCTCAGGGCGCTGGTGCCACCGATGAGCGACGCGATGTCGGATGCGGATCTGATGCTGGTGTTGTATTCCCTCATGGTCCGGATCGAGAATGCCGAGTGCGCACTGAGGGCGAGGTTTTTGCCTGATCGGCTGGCCGGCGTGCTGGCGGATGAGTTGGATCCGAGGACGTTGGAACGTGTTTTGGCGGCTTTGCGGACCATGTAGTAGTTACCGACTGTTGTTGTTTCCTCCTTTTTGTATCTGGGCTGTTGTTGTATATTACTTGTTGAAGCAGAGGGCAGATCCGTCTATCTGGAGACATGCCAGTCTCTTCACCACACCAGGGTGCGATATGAGGGTGTACCCGGATATATGCGCTTCAAGAAAGCAGCTCGTCCACACCGGCCCCCAAGCTGGCGTCATATTCTACAGAGGAGTTTGCTTCTTGCACGGCGTCGCGTCGCGTCGCGTGTGAGACGAAGGCCGTGACTTGTGATCTGGCGTTGGCCTGGCGTGTACCGTGACGGAAACAGCACCTTGGAAATGGTATACATGCGTTTTAAGACTCCGAGATAGCTCACCATTGTGTGCTAAGAGTTGTTTCATAGTCTCACTCCGTCGGACATCAGGCTCGACGGTCGAGAGAAATGGGCGGCTTTAAGTGATCAATGGACGGTGGCGATGCATCCTCGTATATAAGTAACGCGCTCAGTCACAATGCCAGATCGGTCACCGTCACTGGATCACAGTTCTGGGAAGCTAGGCGAGCACCAGCGCGACGGATGCAGGGATCAGCTTTTGCCGATATGAGTCCTTCGAGCGCTCAGTAATTACAAGAAGTCAAGTGATGGGCCCCTTCATAGTGTGTGTGACATCGCATGCCTTGGACAATGCAAGACGCGCGTTATTGATGCGATCATCTATTCGTAGTACGTGTCGAACGCGCATGGATTCTGTGCACCGTTCAGGTACTTCCATACAACGAGTTGAGTAAGAGCGCGTCATCAGTTTGTGCTGCTGACCCTGCTAAGCCTATGATCTCTGATCAGATGACTGGCATGATGTTGAGTAGTGCTATAACGTCGGGGAACTCAGCTCTGATTGCGTCAACATGAGTCTTACTCAGGCCATGGATTGCCTTCCGGGATGAAATCTGAAGGAGAAATTCAGGTGCTTTTGACTAGCCCGCTTGCATGCGGAGCTGGCTTGTGCTCAAAGCCAGATCGTCATTTGCTCCACGCGTACCGTTAGATACTACGTAAAAGCGAAAGCGATCAGCCACTGGGTCGAGTTTCATCTTGAGTGAATTTTCATGGAAGTTTTCCTGAGAATGATGTTGTCGCTTCTGAACTTGCGCCACCACACTATCAGGTCTCTGTTCGCTTTGCCTCCCTTCTTTCATTTTTGCCTGTGGTATCACAAGGAAAATTGTACCTGTGTGATTATTGTATTTTTGAGCGAGTTAAATGTACCAGTCGAAATTTCACGGGGTTCCGTTGAGAAACACATACCTCGTCCTCCGTATTATTCTATTCAAGCCTGAATTCAGGGTCCAGGATAAGTTCACGGCGGCCGGCTGGGTTGTACACATCGCTTGATCTTTCGACTCGATTGAGAGGCTTCAGAATATTCTTACCCTGGACACACCATCAGCTGCCCCTTGGCACCTACAAGGATTGTACTTCTGGAGCATCTGTGAAGATTCGGAAACTGCAGCAAGATCGCCTATGTTATAATATGCACTGTCGCCACACTTCAACCGCTCATTACGCAAGAACCGCTCAACCGGACACTGGGAAAGAATTTGCCAGACTGGAAACTGGCCAATTCAAAGTCCGGTATTCGGTGCTCCTCAACTTCGACAAGTCTGCAGACCAATCCGCACACTGAATAGAGTCAACGATCCCTGACCGTGACTCCAGAACAGATATCGCGAGGTTGTAAATGTGATAGTGATTGATGGACCGGGATTTTCCTGGCAACAAGCTCTGTTTGACCAGGAGCTTCAGATGTTTCTAAACAGGCCAAGACACAGTAGATTCCATGTCTGGGCACACCAAATGGAGCCTGAGAGGGGGGTAAGCAGGGCGCGAGTTCCCGGAGCCGTGCTGCAGAACCTTGAGCACCAGCAGCATTCATGAGATAATAGACCCGGTCTATTGCGCCCTTGGTCCCTTCTCAAGTACATACTTACGCCTTGTTGGAGCCCTCGCAAGCCTTGATTGATCATGCGACGAAGATTAGATCGGGTAGCTACCCCAGATCATGTGGTCTCTTCCCCGCATTTGATCGGCCCAGAAGCGAGACGTTTGACAGACTCCGCCTCAGTACTTCCGCCCACCAATCGCGTGAAAGGCTGGAAGGTCCGCTGGGGTGGCGTTCCCCAGGGAATGGACAGGTCTCACACGAGCGGTATCACCGCCGAGGGAGACGATGACGAGCGATTTGGGGATGATGATGAAACAATGCGTTTACTTTGCGAGGACGACGACTACGACAGGGGATGATACTTTACAGGTAGTGATTTGTATTTGGGTACGATTATGGGACGGATTACAGATTCACACGGGAACGGCAGATGAGGACTGCAAGGTCAGGCTAAGATGAGAACGCTTGCACGCAGAAGAGGAGTAGGTGCACGCACCCCGATGTCAGACACGTTGGTGGTCTTGGGGATGGCGGCCGAGGTGCGGGCGATGGCGGCCAGGTCGACGTTCTCGCCCTTGAGCGCGTTCATACGGAACTTGCGCGCCATAGCGACCTCCGCGTCAGAGCGTTCGAGCACGGGCGACCCAGGCGCCTTCTTGGACGAGACCACTGCCCGAAAGTCGTGTGAGTGGATGCATCGGAACAAAGTACAGCGGCAACGCACAGTCATCGGACGAGGACCCGGTGCTCAGGCTATCGCTGTCATCCTCGACCTGCACACCCTCGAGCTCGGCGTGGCCGTCGTCCATTCCGGCATACTCGAGGTCGCGCTGCAGGGTGGCATGGTCAGCGCGTGTGGATAGCCGAGATGATGCTTCTGACTGACCTCGTTTTCGAGACTGCCCCAGTTGTGCGCGCCGCCTCCGTTCTTGCGCATGGTATTGCCCATGCCGTTCTTGCTCTCGGAGCGGTCCTTGAGCACGGAACGGAGCGACAGGGAACGCGCGGTGCGAGTCATCGTGGGAGGGGGGTTGTGGCTGGTGGCGGGGTGGCAGAGAGACGAGTGTGGGAAGAGAAGTGCACAGACGCAAGTGTTGGTGGTTGCTGGATAAGAAACTAAGCCCGGTGGAGTCTCCCATTTATATTGGGGAGTGCGTCAAAGCATGTCCATACAGTGACCGGTGACACAAAAGGATACAGTGGTAGCCGAGGGTCGTGTGCCGCTTCCTGATCGGAACAATCTGGAGCGAGTAGGCCGTAACGCCTGTCATAACCTTCTTCGAGCCTTCGAGTGCTTCGGGGCTCGTGACTGTCGAGTGCCACCCAGACCCAGCTCTTTAGCCTCAGATAGACCTTTGGGGCAGATATGATCTGTTCGAGAAGGTGTCCGTCGTCAGGACCCCGTGCGCTTGCCGAAAGGTGAACAAGAGTCGTTGTGATAGTGATTCCGGGGAGACAAAGGCGCTTGATTGTGAAATGGAGCAAGAAACCAAACGTATGTCATATCTGGTAACCGAACGGGGTATTAATCGCAAAGATCTTCTGGTTGGTCCGTGCGCCGCTAAACTTCCTGAACAGAACAAGGTCTCTGTGGGTCGCATAATATGTGCCCAGTCGAGTTGCACTTCAGTGCAAGACTCCCGGAAAGCTTCGGACATCGGAGGCCGACGAATGACAGAACACCGACTGATACAGGACGCATGAACCTGGCTTCTAACATGCTCCAGGAATACCACGTGATCCAGCAGTGTGCCCACGGGTTCAATCATAAGCTCCAATTTCACACTTTCTCTGTATTGATACGCAGGTGGCTGTCCAATCTTATACTCGGACGAAGAATACCCCGAATCAGCCCTAGCTGATCACAATGCGGTCCCGACATCATAATCCTCGTTTTCGCCTTCGTGGATCGGGGCTTTCCTAGAGGTTCGAACTGCCGGAGAATCGGAATCGAATTCCTCCACTTGCGCAGGCCGCATCTTTGAAGGCAATTTCCGCTGCGAAGGTTGGTCAAATTCGATGTCGGCCGATTCCCTGGCATGAGAGCCACTCGTCGTCGTTGCTGTGCTCTGGGCGAAGCGCACCATTCGGAGAGTGGAAAGCTTGGTTTCTTGAGCAGAAGCGTTCGTACTCGGTGTTCCCGGTATCGGGTATGTGTTCAGCCTAGTATCTGCTGCATGAGATCCTTGTCTCGGAGGTTTGGAAATGAAGTTGACTTGCAGATAAAGTGGTCCGTTCACAAATGCTGTAAAGCCGGTTGGTTGAGATCGAATAAATGTGATAAAACTTTCGGGTTCAACGTACACCTCATTGATAGGAGAAAGAAAGGAAGATAAAAGATCTTTTCGGGTCGAACGCAAAACTGGAGCAATTATACTAATTCCACACGAGAGCAGCAGGCAGTTGAAGGTGCTCACCGATATCAGTGCCCCTGATTGAAGTAAGAGCCCGGCCAGTCCATGCGTTATCAGCAACGTCAGTAAATTGTCGGAACCCTTATAGAACGTCACAAGGGACGACTCGGACACTGCGAAATGGTGCGAGGGATCGGAAGTTGGCATTTGCAAGCAGTTTCGAGGCACGAAAAGAATGAAGAGTGACGAGGCGACTGGGGATGCCAATGAGAAAATCATAATTGTCTGGGGGTTTTCAGATACGGAATAGCGTGAGGAACGATCTCAAGCTGTTCGCACCTTCGGCAGACGGTGGTTTAAATGAGTTATCAACGGATCATGAATGCTGCGTGCAAGTTTGGTGAACGGCAGTGCAACAGACGGAGAGATCACCTACCGCATTACGAAAAGCACTGGGCTCATCAGTCATCTTGAGAGGGGCAGAGAAGAATCGAGACCGACCGATGTTGCATCCCAAGGAAACCAGACAGAGGAGCCCAATGAGTGCACCATGTCCAAGACGTAAGCGCCATAGTCTGATAGCGTAATAGCTGCGTTTAGTGCAAGGAGTGTGCGTGTGTGTGAGCAGATATATAGTTGAGGAGGAAAGAATAACGCACCATTGGGCAACAGATCCGCTGATTGACTGGTCGCATGAGCTCACAGCGGGTCCATTGGTTCAAGAGCTCAGCTCACCGAAAGAAGTATAGATATCGTGAATATTTGAGTGGTGGCGGCGATACCAGCGATGAACGGCAGCGAGGTAACAATATAAAAGTATGTCCTGGGCCAAATACGTCCGTCAAGCAGCAGTTGATGAAAGACGATCACAAACGCGTGGGACACTGAAGTGGGTCATTCCATGAAAGATTTCCTTCGAAACGCAGCACTTACATAGCGCTATGCAGGCTGTATCGAGGGCGCTGCGAAGTACGAGTCATTTATCGACGTGGAACTGACTGGGGACAGAACACACAACAGGAACAGTACGAAACCTTTAGTAGACGCCGAGTCGGCGGGGTAAGTTGTGTAGTATCTGTAGCTCACTGCGTCCACATGTTTCAGCCAGTTATCTCCTGAATGTGTGCGGTCTCACGCACGGTATATTGTGAACCCATACGCGATACCCGACAGCCCGTATCTGGGACCAAAATAGGCTCGTAAGCGGATACATGTCAGTAATATGCGAGCTAGAAACGTACGAGACAAACAGTACGCCGAAAGTCTCCTCGGCCTCAACTGGGGTGATGGTAGGAAAGCCGGGCAAACTCGACATAGACTCGGAGTAATGAAGGGGAAGGATGAACCCGTGGCGTGACGTGGAATGCTCTTTAAGAGATCATCTGGATTCATGCTTGTCCTTCTTTGAATGGCCAGCCAGCTTCCATACATCACCGTTCGGCACTAGGGATGATCGCTCAGCGTTTCAGGCAACATGTTTATAGATGATTGATGGTAACATTTTCGCTCGTGCCAGACTCCCTCTCTGGGCTGGAATCGACTTCGAGTGATATCGCCTCACCTCTAAAACCAAGTTCTCCAATGAACTTTGAGTAAGTTCTGCGCTGTTCCAGAAAGGGATGACGATCACAAACACAAGGACACCATTGATAGGACCGCTCGAGGTCATTCCGGTGATAGAAACCCACCGGAGGCTCTTCGCGGTAACACTACTGGTGCGGCCACATCAGGTTCTACCGCCTCATCAAGGGTGATAAATGCACAACCGGCACGTCCCTCCTTCTCATCCCAATCCCATCCTATCGCCTCGAAAGAGCGTATCAGATTTTCTCCCAGCTGAATGAGCTTATCAACCTCTCCTTGTCTTTTGGTGAGCAATTATTCTGATTTGCTATGTGCCTAGCGGAAAGAAAATTATGTATCAAAACATGTTCGTATATTTTGAAACTTCTCTCACTGCTGTTCCTCATCAGACCTGTGGTCTGCCGCCCTCTCGACACAGTTGCGCAGCACGAGATCAAGCCTGTCTGCCTAAAAACAGAAATCTCCCTTTGCCATCAGTTGATTCTCAGCAGTGAGGGATGGCAACTGTCAAGCCTGTCAGGGCCCGGTATTCACGATACTCTGATGAACCGGGCCCCGGCTCATGACCCCTCATGAGCCAAGAACCAAGCGGTCCTGATGGGCACCCATTTTGAAGAGACCTATCATCATCATCATCGCATCCTCACTCTGGACTATGGGCTGAAACAGCCTTTGTCAGTGTCTGCCCAGTGCCAGCCCTCGAAGCTAAATTCAACTTCGGAAAACTCGGGCTGTGCTATAGAAACATGATCGGAAGCCGCAGAGATTCTATGTGCTATAAAACATGATCGGAAGCCGCAGAGATTCTATGCCGATCTCAAACGCAACCACTCTGCTGATAGAACTTCAAATTCACATCGATGACAGCAATCTATCGGAGCTCTTCATGGTGTCACTCTGCTCGCATTAGGTTGTGCTTCCCCTTCAAAATATATGTCGAACTCCTGCATCCGTCCCACCCTCCTGCATCTGTCCCACCCTCCTGCATCCATCCCACCCTCCTGCGCCACCATGTCTTCCAACTCCTCATTTCTGCCGCCGGACTTCATCTCGACCACTGCCGCCCCACCGATGCTAGGCTTCATGCTTTCTGCGCCGTCTGTCGACCTTTTGTATCCGATGCCAACATTGACTGACCTGCAATTCACCTAGCTTATATGGGATCCTCCTCGCGCAGGCGGGACATTATTTCAGGACTTTCCCGGGCGACAGTATACGCGTCAAGCTGGTGGTATGTATGCAGGATCTCTGTTGAAGTTGACTATGTACATCGAGCTGGATTCATGTACAGGTCGGGTCACTCGTGTAAGTGTACAATTCCACGATTTATTTTTCAAACTCACTGACGGTCGTCTTGGATATCGCAGGGCTATCGATACCATCCATGTCGTCATTCTACTCTCGTCGTACAATCAGTGGTACATTCGGGAATCGTTTGAGCTTGTGCTCCCAAAGTAAGCTCGCTGATCGAAGTAAGATTTGGAATTGATTCTCAGAAACACAGATCGTTCAGCGTACGTGTCACCTCCTAAACAATTTTTTTTCCTCTGTGTTTTTTGGACTCAGGTCCCAATAGCTCACACCGCTAATCACATATATCGTCGTTACCATTTGCCAAATGTGCGTAACGAATCTCCGTTTTGAAATTGCGCTCTCCTCACTCCCCAGACAGGACTTACGCGTCTCGGATCTGGATCGGTCGGGTCTTACATTTTTTCACTTCGAAAAGATCGCTCACTTAATGCACCAGTCAGCAAGAATAACTTATGGATGACCGGAATTGTGGTACAGCTCTACATTTCATCAGGAGAAGGTTGTGTGGCATGACTCACGGACTTCCTTAGCTTTGCTTGGCTCTATGCCAATTCGGTAAGCGGACCTTTACTCTAGATGGCTCTATCGCTCACGAGAAACGCAAGCGAGTGGCTTCAGTCAGTAGCAACCAACCAATTTCGATGATACTGAAGTCTGCTACTAGTTGCGGGCCTCGAAGTTTACCTGAATGGTCGGCCGTTGGTTGTCCATCAATCCAAGCTCTTCATTGTAAGCTTCCTGATTAAACTCGTGCGCCACTCATTAAGCCGCCGAATTTGCAGATCGCGGAAAAAATCGAACTGGCCACCAGTCTCGCGTGCGATGTGGCTATTATGGCCGGAATGGTGTATTTTCTGAAGGACTCGATGAGCGGAGGGACCGGTCGAACGTTCACAGCGTCAGTTATCCTAATTGTATCTGGCCGATAACTGATCGTGTTGACCTGATAGAACAGCTCAGATTGTGAATAGGATTCTTGTCTATATTATCGGGACGGGAAGTTTGACCAGGTACGTACCGGCAATTATCTTCCTCCATGTTCTGGAATAACAAATATTCCCAGTATCTCCACCGCTCTCAATCTCGCTCTCTGGTTGACGATGCCATCCAATTTCTACTTTCTGATCGTCCATCTTATTCTGAGCAAACGTGAGTCCGTTTTCTGCGCCCTGAACTGTTGCGTTGGCTGGAACCACTGGCGTCCACAGTGTACACAAATTCTCTGCTCGTCATGTAAGTCCCTTGGGGGTTCAACTTGATGTAAATCTCTTACGGCACAAGCACAGGTTGAATTCCCGCGCCAAGTTCCGCCGAGTAGATCACCACGGTGAGTTCTCAGATACCCTGCGATAATGCGAACCAGGTCTAAACTTCAAGAACCGATTTAGATGTCATTGAACTTGGTGAGAGTTTTCGCAAAGCGACCGCCACCGTTCATGAATGAGCTTCGCCCAGGGACCGTGCCACGATGAGACCAACTTCGAGGGAACTACTGTTCCTAGCAAATTCTGGAAAGATGCTTCATCGACCTGATGTCACAGCTTTGCTCATGTGGGGATAAATTCATTGCGACACGAAACGGTGTTGTTCTCTACCCACATACAGCATATGACATTAGACTCAGAGACATATCAATATAATTGCTAAGAATCAGGCAGCTCTGATTCACATCCTCGGAAGTTCATGATCGACCGAGTGTATATATGTGGTGCGAAGGTCAGTCGTTGGGTATCTCTTTGGTCCATCGGAAATGCTGAATACACATGCAGTATGTATATGTGACTCTTTACATCTACATTGTCCGTTCGTGTCAATTCTCGTAATCGAATCCTCTATCACTGCCGACAGATTTTATCCGGTGAAAACCTGTGCTGAAGACAGGAAGAGAGCAAACGCACCAAGAAATAGTCCGGGATTCGTTTCCTGACTAGTGGCTCGTCTTGCCTAGGCGCATGTTCATATTGGACACTAGAGACCACATCAAGCTCCGAACGCATGTCGAGACGGGGAAAGACGACTGACAACTTGTAGGAGAGTCGCTCATCCACCTCCATGATGGCTGCCTGATTTCCGCTGCGATACACGTAGTTCGGCGCGCTGAACACAGTCACCACATTTCTATCCTGGCCCCAAGAGTAACCTGATATAGAGCAGCGTAAGACGATGATTGAGATGGGTGACAGCAGACGTTCCCTCCATGACCAACTGATGGGCCCGTGCGACCAGCAGCAGCCCATTCGTGTGGTTGAACGCCTCGGTGATGTCTTGTCCGAAAGTGTATCCAGCACCGCGCGGTGATATGCCCCAGCCACATCGGTCGTCTGGGTCAGACCAGAGGAGATCACACATCGGTCCCTCATGCGGGACTTCTTGTACACGATCAAGCGAGCGGAGCGAGTCGAGGGAGTCAATGGAGGGGGAGAGGCCACCGTGTAGACAGAATATCTGCGTAAATGAGCACCACTTTGCGCAGCGCGTAACGCAGCACAACGCACCTGGTTTTCCACCAAAGCCGTCAACGGCAGGTAGTCGAACAGATCTGTGAACATCCTCCAGACATTTGGCCCGCCATACTTGCGCAGGCATTCGTCGTAGAACCCGTAGACCTGAGTGATCTGACGCGACTCGTGGTTTCCGCGGAGGAGCGTGATGCGGTCGCGGTGCCGCAGCTTGAGCGCTAGCAGAAGCGATACCGTTTCTATGGAATAGTACCCCCGGTCGACGTAATCACCCATGAACAGAAAGTTCGTGTCCGGAGATTGCCCACCCATCTGGAACAATTCGAGTAGGTCATGCTGTAGTTGGTGCAAGCGCGAGTGGGTCAGTCACACGACGAAGGACGATGCAGACACCACGTACGAACTGACCGTGAACGTCGCCACATATGGTGACCGGGCACGGGACAGGCTGGACGTTTGACTCCTGCGCCAGGATCTCCCGGGTCTGTGCTGTCCTCGTCAGTCGCCATCCGTTGGCACCTGATCGATTGACGCGCCTTGTCGCAGAGCTTCTTGACCTGACTCTCTGACAGGGGCTCACATCTCCTCAGCTGCTCGATCCATCCGTCTACTTCGTGTTCCATGGGGTGGAGAGAAAGGGATGAAGGAGTTGACGGAAGATAATGATGGTAACGTCGGCCGCCAGATCAGTATCCGATCGAGACTTCATGGCTTTAAGCTTCAAACTCAAGATTTCAGCTTCAGTACTGCAGCGTGAGAGTCACTGCTTGACTGCTACGGACATGGAGGCGTGCTACTTAACAACTTGGACACCATCATATGTACTACTAGGTACCAGGGTTGCCCGCCAGGACTCTCGACGGATCTTCTCTCTGCAACTGGTATCGCAGGGGGGGAAATATTGTACATCTTACATATGCATATAATCATAACCACGCAACTCGTTTCTTGATTGATTCGTTCTGGAGTACTTCGATCCAGTAACCGTCCGGGTCTGAGCAGACGTTGTGAGATACTGGGAGGCATATGAGAGAGCTATCACTATAACGCACCGAGAATGAAGGCAACATCTTTCATCCGACCATCCGTGAGTCTCTTCTTCCAAGTGACCCCCATTTCCTCAAACCTGGCACAAGCTGCATCGAGATCGTCTACGGTAATTGCAATGTGCCCGAATCCCTGTGGCTGATCGTTGCCGTTGTGATACTTGAAGTCCAGGTCGTTTTCGGTGCCGTAATTCCAAGTGAGCTCGAGCAAACCTTCGAGCTTGGCGGTGCTACCGTTCGCGTCCAGAGGCCTATTGTCGGCGCCAATGGAGGTGTGGTCGTAACCGAGGAAGTAGAGGTTGAATTTCGCACCCGGATTCTCGTGTGAGCGCTTGAGATTCATGCCGAGGACGTCCTTGTAGAACGCGAGCGACTTTTCGGCGTCCTTGACGCGGAGCATCGTGTGATTCTGTATTGCCAGGTCAGCGCATGCACCGTGAGCTACCAATGCTACACACCATCCGGTAGCTTCCCAAGTCGGTTGTTTTTTCGTCCGTCGTGCTCTCCACATCGTTGAACGAGATCACCTCTACCCAATACCCATCGGGATCGAGAACGAACGCAATATGGCGCATCCGGCCGTCGGTAAGTTTCTTTTGGAACTTATAACCGGCATCCTCAAGCCGCTGGCACGCAGCCTGGATGTGATCCACGCTGATGCACACATGGCCGAAGCCCCGGAATGGCTCTGCGTTTCCGTTGACGATCTTGTATTCCGGGTCATTCTCGGTGCCGTAGTTATGGGTGAGCTCGATGATGCCTTCGCGGTCGGTCCATTCTTTCCCGCCGGAGAGTGCATCTGGGCCATCGTATGCGAGGAAGTACAAGTCGAATTTGGCATCGGGATTGGGTAGCTTGCTGATCAGCTTCATACCGAGGGATTCATAGAATTTGACGGAAGCTTTGGGATCCTTCACGCGTAACCTGAAGGAGTGGGCTGGGATTTTGACGGCAGGCCGTTAATGCGTACATGGAGTGGTTGAACTTGTACTTGGAAGGATCGGTCGCCATCGCTGCAAGAAATCGAGTCTGCAAGGCAAAGAAAGAGCGGCGGTAGTGGTGGGAGGTAGGAGTTGGGAAGATCCGTGAAGGAAAGAACATGCGCTGGAACCATCATCTTAGTAAGTGTGTAGGTCGTGAAATTATCCCAAACACGGCTCACCAACCAGCCCGAGTGGTGCTGACCTGGGGATGACGTATCGATGCAAGAAAGGGGCCAATCAAAAACGCGGGTTTGAACCTGAGCTGATGATGTTCCTGATCCAGTTGGCCATGTGCTCGAACTCGCTTGTTTCCTGCCCTTTATCTACAGTATCTGCCCGCTTTTGAGAGCATGTGCATGTCAACTTGCGTGAAATTCGTCTAGTCCGTGACTCTAAATTACTTGCAGCCGATCAAACGTTCGTCCTGGCACGCTTCCTGTATAGGAAAGCACGGTGAAAACTCTTGACGCGTCTTGGCGTCCCGCTCCGCTCTCCTTACCCATCTATCTGCTTCACCTATCTATCTTATTCAATCGGATGGCTTGTAACGAGAGGACGAAGCTGATAGAGCATCGCGATGAAGAACGACACGTCGGGCAACATCCCCACTTGGATCAAGAAGTTGCAGTCGCACTGCAGAAGTCAGAAGATGGTAGACGGTTGTTGGAGTATGACGACCTTCCGCACTCTTGGAAGAACAACCCGTTTGTCGTGCACGGTTATCGGTGTGATGTTTCTCGATTTGTTTATGTTCACTGACCGGCGCGCATAGATACGTTCCGTTGTCCAGATTCCCAGTTCTCGTAGCTTCCGTATTTATGGCTCATAACGAGTTTCGTACGTTCATCCCCTCTTTGTGTATCATCTAGTCCTCGCGAGTGATCTGACCACCTTTAGTCAACATCCAAACCCACCTGTTGCCGCTCCTATTCTGGGTTCTTACAGTGCCAGAAACGATTGCCGAAACGATCTTCACCGTCTGTGTTCTGATCTGTTTGGCAAGCAGTGTGGTCTGGCATACGATGGCAGGATGTGCGCACTATGAGACTTTGGTATTCTGTGCGCGACTGGACTACATCGGCATCGGATGGTACCCATCCAAGTTCCTTGCTTGTTCCTCTTCTGCTCGATGACGCGTTTCTAAGGCTCATCTCCGCATGCACCGCCAGCATCGTCCTTTACGCATTCGACGATCGAATCCTACTGCAATGGGCTTTTCTTGGTCTGTCGTTTGTCACTGCGGTTATGGGCAGCATCCTTCCGTTCATGGACTGGTTCGACCGCCATCACAACCGGGTGTGTGTTATTTTTACTGAGGACTCCTCCGCAATGTCGAATCTCGTTCCCAGCTCTGGCGATTGGCGTTTTTCATTTCGTTGGCGTGCGTGACCGCCATTCCATTGCTTACCTATTGGACTCTTGAGGGTTCGGCCAAGATGCTCCATTTCCTTTGTTCGTGTTGCTCTGCCATTACAGGAGCAAACTTGCTGATGCCGTGCCCCAGTGCCCGCCTTACCGACCGCCGGATGGATCATCTTCGGTGCATTGCTCTATGCCGCCCACGTCCCCGAAAGATTTATCGACCCATCCAAAGATCTGGCGCGTTTCATGTGTGCACTGGGTGCTAGTAAGCTGTCTCTTCCGGGCTCGGCCTTTCTAGTTTACATATCTCTCAGCATCTCATGCTCTGTGGCATGTGTGTATAGTCGTTGGGTTGGCCCATTGGCAAGGCGCATTGCGTTTCTGGTCAATTGGCTGTCAATAGACATCGATTCGAAATCAGGATGCTCATACTGTATACATAGTCATACCCTCTGAGCTCTAATATCTATATAATGATGTATTGATTTATTATAGTCTAGTTTTTGGGCTTGTGCAGTACGATACATTCTGTGGCAATTCTTCCTGCCGACTGCCAGCAATCATTCGCAGGTTAGTGACAGCAGTAGAAGTGGTCCAAACGAGAACTTGCCGTGGGACATCGCGCAGCGGCGCAACAGCAGACTCCGAGTCACAAATTACAGCTCATGATTAATCATTAGCGACAAGGTTCCTTGAGCTCCGCGTCCGGGTACAGGTGTTCATCATGTTTCAGCCTGGGTATCCTCGCAGGCATAGGAAAATTCACTAGCCTCGTTGCAACAGTAAATTTGGATTGCGAACAGAGAGCTTTTCCGCTTGCAGTCTGAAATGATTTTCAAACTGGCAGACAGCACTTGGAATTCAGTTAGCCGCCGGTGCTCGCACATTCACTGCACCCAAAACACGAGCCATCGTAACGTGGGGGCTGGGATCCAGACGCAGATCGCTAGAAAATCTGGAACAAATGGTGGCATAGGACAAGGATGCAATTGCAGAGCTCTGACGACTGTGTTATAAAGCTCTCCCTTCAAGCAGCTTAAGATGTCCTAAGCCACAAGCCCCTACACCCCATGCCTTGCCCACGACGCGATACCTCCTGTCCGCAACACAACCATCTACCGCACAGACCAACGAGTCCGTGTCCAATTTTGGTTTCTTCTCCTCATCATGCGAAGTCTTCAGGGGTAGGAATGTATCGGGCACCGAGAACATCAATGCAAGATGTGGTGAAGGGGACGGTTCAACATGGTCGCTGAGCGTTGCATCAGATAGTGAGCCAGAATGAGGCAAAGGTCGCGAAGTCGAGATCCAGCGAAACATTGTGGGCACGGTAGGCTCTTCGATCTGACTTCCGTTTGAAACGCCCTCACGCTCCTCATCTTCCATATCCACATCCTCCTCGGACTGTGGAGCGGTGGCCCTTTTGTTCCCGCGTGGTCGCGTTTGTTTCTTCAGCAGGCGATTGATCGTTTCGAGCTGGTGGTACAGAGATGAGATCAGAGAAAGTTTCTCATTCAGACGACGCAGTACACACCTTCTCATCCTCTAGCTTCTTTTCTATCATGTTCTTCCTCTTTCTGGCGTTCTCCTCCTTCCGGAGCGCGACTTCAGTGGCGCTGTACTGAGCCTTCTTGTTTGGATTGGAACGGGTCGAGTCTAGTGGACCAGTTTGTGTCGATCCCGGATGTAAGAACGCGATAACCTACCGAGAGTAACATGAGAGAGTTCGGTTTCTCCAGCCAGCGCTGCTTGACGCGCCGTTCGGTTTTTGGGGGTGGGTGCACCTAATTGCGAGTCATCCTCGTCCTCGTCTTCTCCAGATTCCGAATCTTCAGACTCGACATCCTCGTCTGTTGAACGGAACATGAGAATCTCAGACGACGCTCAGAATTGGCGTCGTTACTGCGCGACTGCGCCCAACGCTTCGCAGGCTGTCTTGAAGATGATGCCTGAGGCTGGGCACCCAACTTCAGCTTGATTCGCAGCGGAGCCACTTCAGGCTGTAAGTCGCATAAGAGAGATGCCCATGAGGAAGCTATTGGGACGCACCACCGACTCTGTCTCCATCTCGTCGTCCGAATCACCAGCAAGCTCGTCCTGTCCCGCTTCTTCGTCCTCTCCTTCTACATCTTCGTCTTGATCAGCACCGTCGTCTTCATCCACTTCGCTGCTTTCCTGTACATCCGCAACTTGAATATCCACTTCGGATTCCGCATCGCTGTCGGCCACGACCATACGCATTGTGGGGACTGGCAGGCTAGCAGCACTAGCGTGATGACAGACAGGGTCGTGATGAAGTTCCCACGATGCCAGTTCGGCATCAGCGGTCATTTCTCCCCATTCCTTCCGTCTTCCACTGCGCACTTATCTCAGAGAGTTTTTTTTACTTCTCTGGCGCATCTTTGCACGCCGAATCCCTACTTTCCAATCACCCGCTTGTGTACGACGACGACAAGATCACGTCATCCATGAAACTCCTCTCCAGTCTTCTCTTGGTGGCGGCGCTCCCTCTCGCGTCAGCCATCTCCAAAATCACCCGGACTGGGCGGTACCTGTACTCTGCCGATGGCAGTCGTTTCTACATTAAAGGCGTTGCGTACCAGACCCAAGGTGTGCAGGCGATATACCACGAGGCTGTGCGGGGATTGACCGGGCATATGCAGGCGTGTTTACGGTTAGCCCAAGTAACCCGCTCGGAGCACCAACGACCTGTACGTCCGCCCTATGCCTGCTCTATCCGTTCTCATGTCTGCTCAGTCGTTGATCAATTGGCCAACTCGGCGGGCTGCACACGGGACTTGCCCTTCCTTCAGCAGCTCGGCGTCAATGCTATCCGCGCGTATTCGGTCGATTCGACTCTTGATCATGACTCCTGTATGAATGCCTTGAGTGCTGCCGGAATCTATGTAATGTCGGTCTTCTAGCCGTGCTCCCTATCCAACTCTTCGCTGACCATGAGACCAACACAGCCTTGACTTAACGCTCCGTATGTCTCCCAAAACACGGCATACAGCCCATTTGGACTGATTCCTTTCAGCTCTCAATGGTTCGATTGATACCACTATTCCTACATGGTCGACGAATCTCTTGAATGAGGCAAGTGCCCCTTTGTAGGTGTTGGCGTCATCGTTTATCTGCTCCCAGTATATCGACACTATCAACGTCTTCTCCAAGTACGACAATATCCTCGCCTACAACATCGGAAACGAAGTCGTCACAGCCTCAGCAACAGCTGCAGCACCGTTCTTGAAGGCTGCTGCGCGTGATACGAAAGCCTACTTGTGCGCACTGACACAAGGCTGACCCCATTACAACTCTGATTACCTTCCAGGGCATCGATCGGCTCGTCTGCGCTCGTTGGATATGCTGACATTGACGGACCAAGTCCTTTTCGTGACGCCGTTGCCACTTACTTGTCTTGCGATCCCTCTGGCCAAAACTCGGGCAGCTCAGCGATTGACTTGTTCGGCTTGAACAACTAGTTCGTTTAGTTCCAGCTCGGTTCTCTCCCTCTTACATCTCTGCTTAGTGAATGGTGCGGAAATGCCTCTACGACAACTTACGATGGCATCAATGCGGAATTTGCCAACTACAATGTTGTCGCCTACTTGTAAGCATGTCGAGCAATGAGTAGTCCGTGATCCTCACTCTCCCCAGCTCTGAATTTGGGTCCGAAGATTGCAAACCTACAGCACGCCCTTGGACCGAAGTCAGCACGCTGTTTGCATCGCCCATGACCAATGTCTGGTCTGGGGGTGTTGCCTTCAGCTACTTCAGTGCCATTTCCCGCGGGAGCGACTTTGGTCTCATCACACTCTCTGCGGATAACTCGACTGTCACGGTCAAACAAGACTTTACGAACCTCGCGAACGAGTTCAAAGGAGTGTCGTTCGTGAACTCACCTTCGCAAGGCTCTGTCTCCGCCAGTTCGTTCGGTGCTTGCCCCTCGACTAGCCCGAATCTCGAGGCCAGTTCAAACCTCCCTCCGACGCCGAACACAGGCGCGTGCTCCTGCATAGAGCAATCGCTCAGTTGCCAGTTCAAAGCCACGGGGGATTTCAATGCCGTGCTGGGCACATTGACGGGCACCGTGTGTGGGCTGCTCCCTCAAGTCGGCGGAAACTGTAATGACATCGCTACCAATGGGACGACTGGCGTGTACGGATCTGTTTCGTCCTGTGATCCGAGTGCGTCCTTTTTTCCATCTGTGTCGTCCTCACTCACATGGCGACAGCCGTCCGTATATCCTATGCATTTTCGCAATACTACGAGCTTAACGGTCGTGTTGCCGCATCGTGCGACTTTGCTGGTAATGCGACTGTCAACAGCGCGGCTTCGGCATCGACCGCTGCGGCTGTTGTATCTTCGTGTTTGCCCAGCCCGTCAGCGGTGTTCACCGCCAGTGCACCACCCGGCGCATCGTCTGTAGCTACCGCTGGAAGCAGCTCGACCACAGCAAGTTCCAGTGGCACTGCTAAAACGGGGGCTGCCGTGCCCGTTGGTCCGACTGGTGGCGCTCTAGCGGGATTGGCGACAGTCATCTCGTGTGTTCTCACAGGCATGATTTGGACGGTTTTGTGATCATTCAGCCGCTTTTGGCCTCGGACTACAGTATCGTATATACATCTAGGATATCTTCCCCATACCACACATAGTACTATTTGAATCGAATGCTGGACTTTGTACGTGACCGGGCTCCAAGGAGCGGAAGGTTTGCACGTGGATTAGAGCGATATCCACGTGACGTAACGGCGGACCTGGGCCGTGCATGATAATTCCATGTCGCGCTACAGAGGAGTCTTAATGTTGCTCCACCATCCCATAGATGCCAGGCACAAACTAAGGCGAACTGAACGATTGATAGACCGCAAAAGATTGTATTGGACTCCATTCTCGTCTACTATACAAAAAGCAACTATCCGAACAATCCATCAGACAAACGCTCGACTCATAGGTTTCTACCGCACTTCCCTTTCGGAAAGTGCAGCAAGGAGACCAAAACGTCATCGAGACCCGCGAAGGAGCCATGTTCTCAGTCGAACGAGCGAGCGCGCAAGTCATCGAGTGGATTTGAAGGATGCGGCATTTGTAAAAATGCGAGACTCGGTCAGTTTCTATAAAAAGATCCTGATGAGTATGTATCTGAAGAATCGTAAAAGATGGGGGCTGGAGTTTATAGGATTTTCAAGTGGTCCGTGCACGGTTAGGCACGTGAGGAGAACGTGATGGACAGATTAAAATTTATATCATTCATGTTCGAGTGGTGTGTAGGCTCTGAGAAGCAGAATCGACATTGATCAATCAACAGGCATGAATCTTGGGTAGTCCAGATCCACACGCGTTAGTGAATCTGTCCGACTTGGTTCCATTAATCGAGATGTCCGAATACTGAGAGCACCCGCGCATGAGAATATGAGATCATCGCATCGGAGTGAAAGAAACAGACGCACCGTGATATTTGTACAATGTGCACCGGCGTTGCAGTCTGCCACGACTCCTGGATAGCGGGAGGAGCCCGTGCCCTACCGAGAGCGAATCAGATCCGAGCAGGAATTGCGAACATAGAACAGGCGCACCTGCATCCCGCTGTAATGCACATCGGAGATTTCCAATTTTCCAGTGTCTCTACCGTTTCCGGCCCAGAATGCGCTGATGTCTACTCTCTGTTTAGCCGCACAGATCATTCTCGAGAGCGCACACTCACATAGGGGGTAAGAAGACCCGACCTACCAATCCGAACGGTGATGAACCTCGATTCCAGGAAAATATGGGGTCGACGCACGAAAGTGAAATTCTCATAGGTTATATTCTTGACAAAGCCAATGTTATTTGGGTAGGATTTGATCATAACTCCAGCATCCGAGTTGTCGGTCAGCGTGACGTTTCGATAGTAGACATTTTGCACGCTGACGTTGGTGTTATTGGAACCGAACGAGCCGATGTTGCAGCCGGCAGTATGGATGCATTGAATATTTTCCGCGACGAATCCCTGATGAAGTTACTCCGCGCGATCAAGAATACATGAGGTCAAACTGACGTTGGTGGGAGTCTTGACCGTGACGCACTGCAGGCAGTCAGCACAATTCACCGAAACGGGAACGCAGTTTACTTACTTCATCACCGTTCTCGACGATTACATCGTGAACGTAGCTAGACGGTTTCAACAAAACTCAGAGGAGGGATTTTGTGCGCACTTGTTGTTTCCACTCATGTCGAATCCATCCGTTTCACCTGAGGATAAAGAATTGAGCCGATGAAAATTGTATCTGGATCGGAGCGCACCGACGTGCGTGGCTCTTATCATCATATTATGAGCCAGATTACTGAGCATGACATTAGCCGCGAGTCCATGGTTCATCAGAGAGCGTACTTGTTTCCGAAAATTGTCACATGGAACATCGGCGCGTCATACAACGTTATCTCGGTGATTTCGATGCTGTGGAAGCAATGTGTCAGACGCGTAATGTTCCGACCAAGGGCAACTTACTTGTCGCAAGCTTGGAAACGAACGAGCCGTGGCCGGTTTGGGAACAGGCTCAGCTGATTCATGATGAGCATAGTTGTGATGTCAAGCTAAAAAGACTTGCATTGTTCCGCTCTCGGTACCGATAACCATTGCCAAAAATGGCACCCGGGCCGTCGACGAGGATATTGTTGCAGTTCTAAATTAGCATTCAGAAAGCCTCCATGAACAATGGTACATATACATACCTGCCACTGCAGCATGGTTCCGCCAATTCCACCGAGTGTAGTATTGAATGGCAGGTACAAGTTACCGACGAGATGCAGATTCCAGTATTTCGCCTTGTCGAAGAGGACCATGGATGTCAGTAGGAAGCTGCCGCTTGGAACGAGCAGCACGACGTCTGTGGCGACTGTCGTAGTCACATTCGGGATAACGCAATTTTTCCATGTCGCAGTCAAAGCAGGGCCGATGTCCGTCTGGTTGTCGGCGACCGCACCGTAGTCGAGCACGTTACACTCGATAGCTGCCAAAGCGGGGAGCACAAAGGCCAGTATGGCAAGAGGAGACAGCAACATTGTGACCTATTGGTGCTTGAGAAGGTCCAGAACGCCTTTATGACTTCGAGTGCTCCATTGCAGCTCATGTGGTTTGGCCCGGCCCGTGCGCTGGTCCTCATCTCGGTAAGGTAGAAGTTGTGGCGCAAGATGTTAACACGCGTTTATCTGAACGAGAAGTTCCCGGGAACAGTGTTAGTAACTGGGATGAGACGAAATAGAATCGACCCGGTCTCAGACTTATTGCAGGCGCCGAGCCCGCTGTGATTGGGAATGGGAGTTGGGATTGGACGAACACTGATTAGTTAGAATGGCTGATGGGAAGCGACATAACTACTGCAGATCAGCAGCGGAACCAGTGGCTCGATTCAGGGAAAACCTCAAGCAGAAAACACGCTGTCTGTGTTATATTACCGAGGAAACCGCGCTACATTGGTGAGCGAAAAGAAGCTCTTCATGATTAAGCATCTTCAGCGCATGCAAAGGACTGGATTGGTCGAAGAAGGGCACAGCGTGAGGGAAGACTTCTGACTCAATGCGAGATGTATACGGTTGAACCCGATGCGGATGAACCTATTTCAATCCAATATGTGGATCACCGAAGGGTCAGATGGGACACGACCAGTCTCAGATAGAACCTCCTGCTCAATCTCGTCCTCAATCTTGTCTTCGACCACAGGCAACCCGGCCGCCTTCCATGCAGCATATCCTCCAATGATATCTGTGGCATCCAGCAAACCGATATCCTGCAGCGCGACCGCCGCCAAACTACTCGCTTTGCCATCCTCACAGAACAGGATGACACGCAAGTCATAACGGTCGACTATCAGGAGCCGATCCCTGCTACGCGGGTCGAATCGCCACTCCAAGACGTTGCGGTCGATGGGCAGCGAACCGTGAATCCCGCCGTCCCGAGTTCGAGTCTCGTTGGACCTGATGTCCACCAGAAACGTCGGCGCGCCCACCACCGGTGCCAAAAGCTCCTCGTAAGCTGCAGTGGGCGGCAACCGTTGCAGGCGGGCCCGTGCGTCCGCCAGAATAGCACTTGCGCTGCGACAGCCCGCAGGTGGGAGAAGCGGGTCTCTCGGTGTTCGTGCTGCTTTGCGTAGCACGTCCCACAGCGCGGCCTCATCCGATGCAGACACTGCGATATTTTTGACGGGCGCGATCCATAACGATCCCGTGTTGTAAGCGATCTGCATGCGGCCGAGAAACTTGGCGGAAGCGAGCAGAGCGGCGCGTTGAACGTAGAGCTCAGGGTAGCCGCATACAACGACCGTGTTGAGCTTTGGATCCGAGCGATTGGAAGGACCCGTTGTCGCAAATGCAAAGACCTGCCGGTGCTGTCAACGAACGCTACGAAATCTGGCCATGTGCGCAAACATGGTGGTGCAGCGCCATGACCTCCTCGGTCAGCTTATGTGCGACTCGCTTGAGAAAATCTTCGTCGTCTGATTTGCTGAGAGTCAATGTAACCCCGATCCGGACTCCTACAAACGCTCATCAGCGCCGCGACAGACGCTCGCCCAGCACTGAACCCACCGTCCACAATCTCGGACTTCGTAACCGCCGTTGTCGCTATCTCAGCCGCGACTTGGTCCCGGATATCATCGAGACTTCGGAGTGGGATGCCGGATGAGATCGTCGATCTATCGGGGAGTACGGACTCGCGCGACGTGATCGACGAGGAGCGCGAGGAAAGTGACATTGGTCACATTTGGTCACAACCTTCCCGCACTTCTGGGTGTCGAGCCGCAGAGCTAGAGGTGGTATCGAGCGACGAGTATCATGCTGGCCTGGACACCGTTCGTTTCTGTCTTCGTGCTTTCGCCTAAAAGAAACGATTCAAATGAACCGCTCATCATGGTGGCTGTGTGTCTGTCTTTGCACGCCATGGTGTACAACGTGTGATCTGCTTCTGACTTTCGCTTTACTGCGTCGACGAGTTGAAAGCAATTGTACACTCAACGGTCTGACGTTCGGTGCACACATACGTCTCCGCGATGCCAGTATTGATCAACTTGTGCCTGCCTGCGTGACCTTTGTTCTGCATTGGGTCTATATCACGCGTTTCTCCTTGAGCCGCCTAAGGACTGCTTGTTCCCAGAATGGAATGCATTGTCCAAAAACTCCGCTATGTTTGGTATAAGAGGTGGAACGCGGGAAAAGCTTCGCTAGAGGATCTGGTATCCCTGGCTCCTGCTAGGTGCGTCTGTCAGCTGTCCGCTTCCCGCCACAGACGCACTGACTTTGATACCTGCAGCTCGTTATCATCGCCATGCCGTACGCGCTGTCCCAACTATTCTGGAGGCGCAATGCTGGTGAATCGAGTCCGCAAGTCATGCTGCACACCGACGCCCCCGTGTTTCGACTCCCTGCTGAGCTGCTGGGAGTTATCTTCCTGTTCGCGTTGATTGACGAATGGGAGCCCATGACGGAGTTCGACGATGCGGCTTTCCCTGTCGAGCCTGTCGTTTTGTCGCACGTTTGCCGTCTGTGGAGAGACGTGGCCCTCGCCCATTCGGCCCTGTGGTCGACGCTGTGGATCGACCGGCCGAGGAAAGCGCATCTTCCGATGGTGCAGCTGTGGTTGGAGCGCTCGGCTTCGTGTTCTTTATCCATTTCCCTTCGACAGACGGACTACGCTCAGACTTTCTCGAATCCGACACAGGAGGAACATGATCTCACAGATCAGATATTGCTGCTTCTACTGGGCCACACCCATCGGTGGTACTCCTTGCGTCTTTCGTTCACGACTTCAGCACAGCAGGCCCTGGCATCGTTCTCGACTGGCGATGCATCGATGGTCCAGCACGTCAGTCTCGAAACGGATCGCTGGGACTGCCAGAGCGCAGATGCCTTTCACTCTGCTTTGTATTCATGTCCATCTCTACGACGGCTCAATCTCCCTTCTTCCGCCAAAAACGAGCACATTCCGTGGTCGCAACTGACACATATCGAGTCAGCGCCAGAGTGGACCTTGGATACCTGTCTCAGCATTCTGTCTTCCTGTTCGACGCTTCAGTCCGCGTCTTTGACCTGCTCCGCCGATCCTGATTGGCCATCCGTTTCCTTCTCGGAATGCGTATCACTCCCACGGCTAGTGTCCCTGTCTATCACAGGTTCCAGGACCGACCTCGCGTCGCTCTTCGATCGTCTTACACTACCCAATCTCGCATCGCTTTCTCTCGAATACCGACACGTCCCTCACTTGGATCGTGACCCACACTCGCTCCACGACTTGCTCGCACGTTCGCACTGCAATCTCACGGCATTTTCGCTGCATGAGAAGGCAAGAGCGATGGATACCCAACGTCACTTGCGGTTCATTGCCACCTGCGCCCCGCAGATGATTGGGCTGTTATCGTTGGAGCTTCAAGTCGACGTGGGCGATGCATTGGCACGTTGTTCGACTGCGACTGATCGCGAGCACGAGTCGCCAATGTTTCCAGGTCTCAAGTCGCTCAGTTTGGTCGGCTTGCGGCGCAAGCAGGTTGCGCAAGGCAATCTGGTCGACACACGTCATTCACAACGTCCTGCGATGTACTCAGTCGACTCCCTGGCTGGTCCGTGCGACTGATACCGCTTACAAGCGCCCATGGGAGAGAATATCACAGGCTCTTCCGTGTAACGTGTCTGCTGTGTCGCAGTGTCCCCCAACCACTATTCTGAGGTTGGCGTCCACGACAGTCGTCGCTCAATCCCCTCACGCGCTCTACCACTCCCGAATCGCTGTCCGTTTCACATTGACCACTCTCGCTCGATATGGTGTTGTGTCAGAGACCAGATACCCGTTCTAACGATACGAAGCGGATTTCTTTCTTGTCTCACGCTATTATATAGATAAGTACTAATGATAAATAGTTCGAGTGGTAAGAGTTCGATGTCCGACATATCAGTGGGCATCGAAGAAAAAACATCTTGTAATCTATTTTGACTGGAGATATCGCAGCCTAAGGTCCAGCCCTCTAGCAACAAGATGGTCAACAAGCGGCAAGATATCGAACTCCCGGGCCCTGGTGAGAGACACATCCAGCCGTCGCAAGGACCGTCCATGGGATAACAAGAGATCGAGGATAGCTTGATCTGTGAGCTGCGAGGTGCGATGGATCTCCAGTGATCTCAGATTTGCCAGCAGGTGGTTCGAGGTTGTCAGCAGCTGGACGAGATCCTCGGCAGACATTGTTGGTTGCAAAGTGGCGATCCCTACAGGAGACCAAGGATCATACCCAGGTCCAGGCTCGATGCGTAGAGCCTTGAGCTTGGGCACCAGCTCCATGCAATGGATGAAAGCGGCCCTCGTGACACCGGGGATGTCCATCGTCAGTCGTTCAAGGGCTGATTGTCCAAGGAGTGGTGAGAAGGGCAAGATGGCTCGGTGCGCAGAGGTGCTATATTCGTACTCGTATTTGGGTCCCTCATATGCGAAAGAACGCAGGCTGGGAAGAACTAGCGAGCGGAAGAAGTGCAAGGCGTTCGGCAGCGCGTATTCTCTGTTCTCGACGCTCAGATGCGTGAGAAGGGGCATGGTCACGAGGGTTGATAGGTGGTTCTTCGACGATTCGTCTGCTTCAGGCATCGCCACAACTTGTTGATCCGACGTAACGCATAGCTTGAGCTGGACGAGCCGGGTGCATTCTCGCAAAAGAAGTAAAGCGGATTGCATCGTGAACTGGTAGATGGTCGAGTCCTTCAGCCCGCCGCCAAGGAGTGTCAGCGACGAGAGGAGCGGCCAGATCACCGGTAAGGTCAGAAACTTGCCGCCCAGGTTCACGAGTGAGACCTTGCGCAGCGCGTAGGTGCGCAGAAACGGCAATTTCCTCCATGGAACATCGAGCGGTGCATCCGAGTTCCTCCACGTGCCTACTCCTATCGATGTCAGCGAGATCGATTCGAGCCTAGGCACATCCTGCGGCCGCAAATTCGTCAAGGGCGTCAACGTCGTGTGCGGAGACAGAGTGAGCTTCACGCGACGCCAGCGCGTAGAGAAGCGCGTTAGGACGTCAATCACCGTCGCGATGTTATCCGAATCAGGCTCGCATGCGTCTGACACGGCTAGGCTAACGCACAGGCCTAAGGCGCCTGAGCGAGATAGCCAGTCGTCCACCGCGTCACAGAGCCGGTTTAGATGCGCCTTGTCTGGGACAACGACGTGAACGTTCTTCCACAGGTCGGGTGTTGTCATATATGCGAGACGACGCCATCCGGAGCAGATCCGGCCGAGGAGCAGCGGTGCTTCTTTCGTGCTCATGTGCGGATCAGGAGGGACGGTTGCGCGGAAGATCTCACAGAGGATGTCGTCGGGGAGTCGACGAGTTACGGAGATGACTGAGCGAAGGGCTTCCATGGATTCCTGTACAGCCCGAGGCTGCGCGGAGACTGTCGTGGACGCCGCGGGTAGATCGGCGCTCAGCGACTGCAGGCGTCCCTGGAGAAATTCCAGTCGGGTCTGGATGGAAACGCGTTCTTCCGCTGTTGGAACGCGATTGGAGGTGATGAGGCGCGTGAAATCGGTCTCCATCCTTGCGCCCAAGTCGCCAGGCGCACGGTCGCGGGTCACATCTTGCGCGTAGTCCATGTCCATCTCTGGTCAAATACAGAGTCAGCAAGCTACTCATGCGAGTGCGGAAAACATGCCTTTTCCGTCCGCAATGTTCCGACGCCCCAAGACGCTCGCTGTGTCGAGTCGAGGAGCGGAAGAGGAAGTCGAGCGTTATGACACGATCTCGCACGCATCATCACCGAAATAAGCGGATAATCTTTGCGGAGCTTGCGGCCGCGAACGCCTTGAGCGCCAAAATTTGATGATCATGCTTGTCCTCAGAAAGGATCTGGGCGTGAAGTGTTTCGCCTTCGTTTTTGCGGAAACAAAAAAATGGCGAACGTCGCGTTGCACAGCCACGATCGCCCGATTCGATGACATCTTGGCAGGCTCCTGCCTTTGACACCAGCATTGCTTTTACAGGCTATGTGCATATTATTATCAGGTTTATGATATCCTCTGACTGTACTACGTCAGACAGAGCTCCTCAAAACGCTCTGAACGGCAATCTCAGAGCTGAGCAATGGTAAGCAGATTTTTCTTTCTCAGCCAGATCCTCGATCAAGATCACCCCAAGTCCACTGGTCTTTCCTGAGAAGTCTCCTCTTATTTTCACAGAACGGAACCTACATTTGCGGGTGGAGATTAATGTGGCCAGCGAAATGCCCATCAAATCCACTCGATTCAACAGCAAATGGAGGAATCAATGCAGAGACTACGATTGTCCGTCTTGACTTTGAGAGAATTAATCTGGAGGAGGCAGACACAAAATGGAATGTCACATCATCACCCGCGAAGCTTATTCTTCATGGAATTCGTTCGAAGTTCCTACAAGCACTGCGACGCACCAGGGCTCACAACTTCTCTCACGAGTCACAACAGTATCATGGAAGCTATAATGATCGGCACCAGCAACTTTTGACGAAGGAGAAAAATTGCTTCATGGCCCGTCAGTGCGGACGTTCTTAACCGATCAATGACTGGTGCTTGCCTCATGCAAATGAAATGAAATGGATGCGGCCCGCCGGCGTCACCGGCACCTGGAATGTTGATATTGAGAACTCTACACGGCGGGAGAGCGATGCAGTCCGTCTTCGGAAGGAGATCGGCGGCGGATTTTCGTCCGCTCACGATCTGGAGAAGATTTGGGATGGTTCGTGACTGAAACGACCGAGTTCGAAGTTCGGTCAACCGATTATCGGACCAAATCGATGTCAACGTACGTCCCATCCGTTGAGAAAGTACTTGTTGTCCGTGAAATTGGATGTCACATGCAAATTCAAAGCCAAATCAGCACCGCCCGGAGACGGCAGCCCGTAACTTTCACGCGCGCGAGAGACCGGAGGTCTTGTTTTCGCAGAGGCCGCTCCAAGGTGACCCGCCGAATCTCTGGTTCTCTCTCTTCGGTACCGAGGTACCTGAGTAGAGCAGAATGAACACCTTCCGCTGTGCTGTTGCCTTCGGGCGTATGCTCCGGATTCGATAATTCGAAATTGGCTGCGTGGCATGCACGAGTGTCGTTGGCCGTCAGTTGAGGCACCTCTAACGCAGAGCAATAGTTGGACGAACGCTCTGGCTGGATCCGAACGGAATTCACCGCGAGCGGATCAGTGGTGGCTCCGCCTGCTTCGATGACGGTCAGGTGGTGATCATCAATGCTGCAGGAAGAATTTTGGGATGAAATGATGTCCCGTTAGCGAGTCACAAACCTGAGGATGTAATTGGGTTTTCAGGACATCGGGATCAATCGAAAACTATACTCATTCTAGGTGATGAGCAGCGAGTCAAATCTGAGGCAGAAGCGGACTCTCTTCCCATGCTCCAGAGCGATGCGAGGGGTTTAATTTCTCAATAATATAGTCATTAGTCTGGTTGGATGTGATTTGCGAGTCATACCCCGCCTGAGAATCACGCATTGCTATTGATAGTGTCGACTGTGTGCAGATAAGGGAACACAATCTGTGTGTTAAGACGAAGGGTGGAACCTGGTCGAAATCAGCAATTTCGTTCGTGAAGGTGGCCTTTTGAAGCACCAACAAGCAAGCCTAATGATTTTCGATTGCATAGCGGTCTAAGGGAGTGAATGGAATGTCGAAAGATCACTTCCCGTCGTCCAGGTCTTGCTTAGGAACGAAAGGTGTGAGCGGGGCCGACTACCATATCGACGCACGTATCCTCGTACACTGAAATGTCCTCAACTGTGAGAAAGGCTCAGAAGAGTTATCGCACTGATCATAGGGCCGCAGATTTCACCCTAGTATTGCAGAGCTATCAAGCTAGACTTGCATCAATCCATCGATCCAAGCGCGAACGTTGAGCGATGAGAATGGTAACAATAAGTTCTGGAGGTAGGGTTAGAATATCTGTGCATGAGCAATGTTATGTATCACCCGTGTTGCGGATGGGCCAAGACGTCGCACAGAGAGGAATTGCTCGGAGTGATCGGGAATTCTAACGAGGTTATTCCATCAAGGAGGTGGATACGTCGTGTCAAAACCGCTGTCGCATCGGACCAGCTCGCATTTCGCTGGATTATACCGTGCTATTTCTGTCCAAAACCAGGACCAACATAACATCTAGCGCTTTGCTGAATCGACTGCACTGGTACCGAAAGATCGTGGGCGTCGTGCCATTCGTCAGTTTATTCTCAACAATCACGAGAAAGCATATCTCCTTTCCGCAGCAGTATGGGCTTCTATGAGAACATTCCACCAGCTGGCATGACTCTGTTGACGCAAATTTAGGAAGCCCAGATGTTATGCGGTGCAACTAACGATCTCTCGAATCCGTCAGCCGAAATGTTTGTGTTGGCGATCTTCGGAGTCCAAATGGTTATCGCATCCTAATAAGTTTCATTGATGCACATCAGAGCTGCGAAAAGAATGTCAGATATTTCGGGCCTGTCATGAGCGTGACGCCAAGTCTAAACCGACCGCTCTGCCCCATATTTATGACCGTGTCCGAAGAACCACACTAAATTCGACGGGGATGATCGCTTAACGCAAAGTTGGATGCGCCCGAAAGATTGCGAGGCCGAACGGACGGACGGCTGCATGGTATAGATCGGAATGCCATAAATGAGTCAGACCAAGATCGGAGAGAAAGTGTCTACAAATCAAACAGACTAGGACAATCGAGGAGCCAGATACGGTAGATCCAACAAATGGCCATCGTCAGATCCATCCAGAAACGATCGTTATTCGACAAAAATACGAGAGCCTTCCGAGTGTGAAATCTCGATTGGAGACAAGAAATGCCGACAAAACAAAAAGTGTAACCGAGATGCACTGGTATCTTCTTTGTGAGATCATATCCCTCCTTCAAATTTGGCACGCACCGAGAAAAAAAAACAGACTCCGCCAAAAGGATTCAAGGTGATGTCAGCAGATAGCCAAGGAAAGTAGCAGAGTGGCAACTTGACACCAGCTCCCGAAAGTTTCTGTAAACAGAGTTGCCTCCGGAAATAGTTTTATCGGCTGAAAGACACCAGGGTGTTCATTCAAGGCGGGAGGAGCAGTATAAGACTCGTCTTTCGATATCACCTAGCGCTATGGGACGCAAAGGTCACAGCCAAGAAGTGCGTGAAGATTGTGACCCTCCGTGACACATGTCATCCTCTTCGTGCTCCTCGATTCTCGATTGACTCGTGCGAGAGCGGCATCCAACATGGATGCTTTCTGACTGTGTCTAATCCGAGAGGTAACGATGATCAGATCATCAGACCATTATTGGAAGGCCGTTTGAGGATGGCTCCAGTCGAAGCATTGGAGTGCCTGGACAGCGAGGACACGACCGTACATAGCAGATCAGATAATCGGTCGCTTGCGCAAACTGATACATGGTAGGAAGAGCTTCGTTACTCATTAGGTAGTCCTGGCAAGTGCTATGCGATGTAGGATATAGCAGTACATATGAGTTGGATGGATGATAGCAGCAGTGGGGTAAAAGCAAACAAGCGAAAGATATTGGTTACACGTTCCTGGTTTCTTCAGACGGCCTCATCCCCCGCGGGCGCATCAAATCCATCGACCGCGACATTCCACTTCCATCGTCCATCAAGGAAACCATCCGCAGTGTCCTCCAAAACAATCGCGTTGCGCTTCTGCACGTAGACAGTCTTGTCCGTCACCTTCTGCCTCAAGGCTGGAATGTTCTCGGGCTCGATGGGCGACTCGAGCAGCTCAGACAGATCCTCTACAGCTTGCTCGAGATCCCTGTATGCGATGTGTTCAATCAATAGGGTTGAAAACACAATGTCTCGACATACCGCTGGTTGTCCTCGAACAGGTCCTTCTCGTTGCTCTTGGCGAGATAGTATGCCATAGCATACGTCCACTTCAGCGTCGTTCGGCATTTGTCTAATTCTTCTCCCGCCTTTTTCATGAACTGCACTTCGATCCAGGTCAGCGTCGAGGTCAACTGCATCTCCTCCATCTTCTTCTCCGTCTTCGCAAACAGATCCTGCGCGAGTTTCGCACTCTGCTCGTGGTTTGCCCATCGATTATAGTACTGTGCACGATGTGAGCAATAGAAGCGTAGCCAGGAACAGAAACGCACATGAAGGTATCGCTCCAAACTAGCACGACTCTTACTCTGCGCATCACGAGCATCCGCACCGGCCTTCTCCTCATATCGGTTGCAGCTGTACCACTGGGTTCCGTGCTCTGTCCAAGGTCCCATACACACCCAACAGAACTCGTGCTTGCACTTCTTGCAGGTCATGTGGCTGTACAAGAGTGTCAATCCTCATTCATCAAGCCGGTATACCAAATAAGCCGCAACCTACTTGCAGCCGCCGTTCTTCTCGATCGTGCTCATGCACTTGGGGCACTCCTTCGTGTTTGTCTTGATCCAGTTCGCTGTCTCGCTGTCATCTCGACATTTCTTCAGCCACAGAAGGGCAACGCCACACACAACCGGTCGGTGATCACTGTCGATGACACAACCGAAGCAGAACTTGTGCTCCTTTCCAGTAGCTTGCTTGGCCAGCTCCTGGCTCTGTGACAAGCCCGCTGTCGACCCGATCCCCCGAGCACCGCATGAAACGATGGGTACGACTGAAGTCAGCGTCGACTTGGACGAGGCTGCGGGACAGGACACGGTATTCGTGCAAGACGGATAGGGGCAAAACTTGAGGTGCGACATGCAGCCCACGTAGTGGCGTACCAGGAGCTCATTGAAGCGCACGAGCGTGTCTTCGTCAACTGTGTTCGCAATGAACTTGTCAGACGCGACTAGCCCACATCCTTCAGCCATGCATCGGCACGCGTGTTCGCCTTCGTCTTTGATCTTGGCCGTCAAATACGCCGACCAGCAGTTGCTGCAGTACTGGTGTTTGCAGTCTAGCGCGAGCGGGTGGATCTCTGGATCGTCGTCAAAGCACACAGGGCAAGTAAATGTCGCAGGGTCCGGCGTCTTCGCCTTCCGCACGGGCCGGCGGCTGGGTCGTGCCGGTTCCACCTCGGGGAGCATAACACCGGCCGCGACGAGCGTCTTGTCAGGATTGTCCATGTACTTCTCGATCAGCTTCTCCTTATTCCAAGACGAATGTCGGAGGAGCAAGCTCGCGCTGGCGGCGTCGACACCGAATATGCCCTGAATGTGCTCAACATCTTTCGACATCAGCGCTTGGATGGCCGTCTGCGATAGCGAGTCGTATTCTATATCCCACGCCTTTCGACTGGCCTTCGTGGGCGCTTTGAAGTCGTCGAGGTCCATGCCGTCATCGCCATCCGTGTCTTCCGGGGGAAGTGAGCGCCGGTCCCAGGCGGAAACAGCGGTGCTCACCGTCCTCGTAGACATCCATGTCGTCGTCTTCGTCAAACACGTCGTCGGCCTCTTCATCTGAGTACTCATAATCGGAGGACATGGTGGATAAGAAGTCTATGTGAGCCTGCGGCGCATGGGTACTGGAACACGTGGAAGCGGGGAGGCTGCTCACGTTACAAGCGCGTTGTGGGAAAGGTCTGGTGGTGAAAGGACAGGAACTTCTAGATGGATCCGGTAGATCAGCTGGGGGGATCCATGGGCATTGGGGACCTGGGAAGACACGACTCTTTACCTTGAGAATGTCCTATCGGAGATCTACAAGAGCGGCAGAAGCGAGCGCGATCCTGAGCCTGATGAATGGAAAGGTCGGCGGGCGCGGAAGGGAAGACAGGGCCAAGGCGAGCTCACGAGAGAGAGGTAGCTGGCTGATAGAGCGCTGGGCGGACCGTCAATGAAGTGGAATAGGTGGGCAAAGCGAGACACGCACTTCGTAAGAGATTGCCTTCTCGATCCCACTGTGGTCTGTCAACCACTGGAGGATGTTCTCGTCAGTCTACAATAGGCGACTCGGGTAGCGGGAGCGGAGCACACGATGTATTACAAATCTGCTCGGACGTTGTAAGGCTACTGTTGTAGGAGCAGAGTGCATGTATGCGTACTGGTGGAAAGCGGTGCGATGACCCTAGTACGAAGGAAACCGAGGAACGTGGTGGTCCCCAGGAGAGAGCTGGAGGTGTGCGCTTGGGCTGAGTCTGTGATCTCACGTGCGGAAGTGTCACTGTGACTCATCATGCATCAATAATCACTAAGTACCAACCGGAGTATTTGATTCCGTCCGAATTTTTGTCTTGTCTACAACGGAGAGTAATATACATGAAAATCGGGGAAGATAAAAACGACGGATATCCACATCCCAAATCTGGCGTAAATTTCTCGGCAGCAAGCCAAATGTCCATGGATATCCTGTATAAACAAACTCTCGAAATACAATTACAACGGAAACAGAAATGCGAAGGGATCGACGCTTCAGGTCTCATCACAATCATTCAGCCAGCCACCATCGTTTAGCAGAGCCCGGATATCGGGCGTATCCGGTTTGATGTCGCCGTTCACGGGTGTAAACCAGCGTCGGAGCTTGTGACCACTTGGATTGACGTAGATGACATTCCAGTAGATGTGATTCTGGATTAAGCGGCGCAGAGCTCAGAAAAATAGGACGATCGACAGAGCGGGAAAACTGACATCACTTGCTCGGATTCGGCGGCCTTGCGGGGCAGCGGGGCTAGCGTATATCTTGCCGCGCTGCCATTCACCGAGATAGTTCTTGAACCAAACCACTTGATCCACCTGCGAGCTTCATCAGCAGTGTCAGAAGTGTGCCCGAGGGCAAGACGCACAGTGAAGAGGCAAATGCGTGGGGCGTCTAAACTTGGACACGGAAAAGGCAGGGGCTGCCTAGCAGAGATGGAGGGCTCCGCGATCTGATCCTCCCTGACGACCTTGCCCATCTCCTTTGCTTTGCCTACCGACTTGGTCTTTCTCCAGGGTTCATTCCGACACGTGATCGAAACTGAAATTACTTCAGGTTTACGGAGGTCCCCATTGGACACCACTCGGGTTGAGCGACGGAGCAGATCGGACGCCGATTCAGGAGCGTTTATGATACCTGACATCGAAGGGAAAGGATCGGATGGATCAATGGGCTGCAAAGTTCCTGCCATTATATACACCAGAGCCGCTTTCCATTTTGGGAATCGCACCGAGTACAATGGCGATCAATGACAGCCACCTGTTCGTTTCTTTGCGTGGCTTCTACAGTCACGTGAGGCATTCCTCGCTGTTGGAATCTGGTTTTTGCTTTGTAGTTTCCATCCATGGCTTGAACAATCCGGGATTTCGCCCCGCTTGCGTCTGATGCGGTCCTTGGCATACATGCTGTTCTAAAGAACCGACCCATACGAAGCGCAACCACACTCTGCGGCAGAACCTGAAAGAAAATATAGTATAGTGAGGTGAACCCACCAGCATACCACTGACCCAGCTCTGCCCTGTGTTGTGTGCGACGTTCATTCGGGCATTATGGGCTTCCTGTGGAACATGAATGTTGCAATTAATCGATTTCTTTAGCGTTGTGTGAGACACAGATGAGCTCACAGTCGTCAGCCAAAGAGACTTGATATCTGGAGGCTTATTAGGACGTTGAACAACCTATGGTAGGCTGGCCGGAGTCGTTGAGGCAGTCAGCACCAAACATCAGCAGCCTCTGTGAACCCAAACACACATGAAAAATCCAACGTTCAATCTGTTGCACGCCCTCGATAATCGATCTGCCACCATAGTAGAAAGGATATGTCCCATAGATTTAGACTCGTGATCTTGAAAAATAGAGCAGCCCATCTCAGACGAGATTTTCAGCGACGACATGTCTGGGCAGCGAAGCTTCGTGGGGGCCCGGTTCGTTAGGAGGCTCGTCAGTATCAGGTCGAAAAACCGTGAGTACTCACTAGATGTCAGCCGTTATGGACGGCGTTCAAAATTTTGTAAAATTTTCCAATACATGTACTAGGTAACGCAGAAAGACGCGTGTCTGCAGTAACATCAGCTTGATGCGTCGAAATGCCCTTTGACTCACAGTCGAAATCAAGAATCGGTAATGGAATCATCACCCGGAAAATATCTTAAGTGAAACCACAAGAGAGTGCGCGATGGATCTACTACATCTGGACACAGCGTAGACTTTGACGCTACTGATGAGTCTGAGCTGCAAGATCTCGTAAGCCTGGCCGGAAAGCTAACGCACCGAAGTGCTTGAACTGACAGAGGAACCGAATCTAATAAAATGCAATGCGTTGTCAGCTACCCGGAGAGCGAACGTGGCTCAAGGGAAAGGTCGATTAGTATGGCCATGCCAGGGAGAATCCGGACATAATGTGAGCAGGGCCTCGGATCCGTTATGCTCATCAGGCAACTGGGACGGTTTATCCGCGTACTACTCCGTCCAGCTAACGAAGAACCATGCAGGATCGCAATGAACAACAGGCATCCTCGCAGATAGACCGGACGTCTCTAAGAATGCAGTGACTAGGAAGGAATGGGTCACCTCGGTAATATACGCGTCCGTCAGACTTGAACTCACCGACACGGCGACAATCAGCAGCAAGGTGTAATATTCGGCCATAAAATAGAGCACTTTTATCACGATCATACCACATAAGCGTGATCCTTGGGTGGTCGTCCAGACGTACTTCCACTGAAAGGCAAAGAGAGTTGGGTCTCCATGCCGGAGACACTGGCAACGCTGTGGGTACCTCTTGCGGCAGGCACGACAGCCAGCCTTATGTGATGGAAGCCGTGGCCAATGGTCGTCCCTAGCGGAGAAATTGCACGTGATCACGCTTACGGAAGCCGAGGCCAATGTTCCAGATAGTTAGTATTTCTATCATCAACCATGAAGTAAAGTAATTGCATCAGAGGAGGGGAGCATCGCTCTCCTAACTGGAGCTCGAGGGAGGGAGTTCTCTCCGCGATCCGATAGAATAAAGGAAGGTAGGTCAATGACCAAACCATTGCTTGAAACAATCAAGTGGCTCCTCCATGACGAACTGCGAGCACGACCAATTAGCCTGAAGCGCCATCTTGAACGGAACTGAAATGTACGAAATAATTGGCGCCGTCCACTAATTCAAAGGTGATCTCGCACTCCGGCTTTGTCTCTACAAACATCCGCTCTTCAATCTTCCACCCGGCGTAGATCGAGTTCAGCCATCCATGGAGCAAATCACAAGATAGTACTTACTATTCTTTCCACAGCTGGCTGCGCACGTGTGTCCAACAGCGCTTTATCGACCAATTTTGTCGTAGCAGCGGCGAAACTGGGAGAAACGAGCATCGCGTTGGCCTTGACGCCCGCTGTCAAGTCTAATGTACCGTCCATTGGGATGGTCTCGATGGTTGGGGGCCGATTCGGGTCAGTGCGGGAGCACGTCAGATTTCGTAGATCGTGTGTCGACAGTTCACCGTGCACGAAGAAGTTCGACAACCAACGCGCTAAGTAAGGCCCCATCTTGGCTCGAGGGACTTCGGGTTCGGACTTGAGGACATCCCTTCCGGGTCCGGGATACCAAACACGACGGTGGGCAGCTCTGCAGACCGTAACCCTAGTCAAAATGGAGAAGGAAGGGAGTAGCAAGTGAGGAACTCACGATAGAGGATAGCGCTTTGCACAGAGCCACTGAGCGTTCGGCGCTGATCTTCAGGTAACCACTGACGCGACGACGGCCATGAGGGCCAGAGACCCCAGCGACCATCCAGCCGCAGCCACTCCTCCTGGGAGAGCAAGCGATGTGACAAGCCCCGCGATCAACAGCGCCAAGTCCCGACCCATTTCCACAATGAATGCCTCCTTCTCCGCTTCGCCCCCGTTCATGAGCAAATCGAGCTCATCCGGGTGCGGAGTTGACCCGTCGTATTCTCGGCGATTCGGGGCGATGACGCGAACGCCATTGGAGAGCTCGAGAACAGCCAAAGACTGGAAGGTCCCTGGACGTCGCAGTTCATACTCGAGATGTAGTCCAGACCACTGGAAGAACACGCGCCGCTGTTGAACATTATGCCATGAATGAGCACCAGCGTAACATAATTAGTCTTGTTGGACGAGGGAATCCCGCCGTTGGTGTAGCTAAAGACGGCCCCGCTGGGGAGAGTGAAGGCAGGCATGCGCAGGAGATTTTGCCGTGCCCTTATGTGGCCTTTCGTCAATGCGAGCGGTGTGATTCATGCTTGTCAGGGTGTCAGTCACAGGATGGACGGCGATGTAATGGACTGACCCAATTCCGTTGACCAAGAGTGAGCGATCAAGAGCAGCGTGTCAGTACCCCAGACGTGCCCGGGTGAGCTCATCACCATGCCAACAAGCAACAAGGTGCCCACCGCACGGCTTTTAGTCCTTGGCTTTTAGATAATAAGAACCGGATTATCCATGGTTTACTGAGTTTTGTCCAGATGCGAAGGATCGGTGGGTGCCCAAGACGGACCCAGTAGTGAAAGCCACTGGCCCGTGTGCGGCGGGTTTACTGAAAGTGCTGCCACAGGACGCAATCCGCGAGGCTTTGGTTTCACGAAGCCGTAATGGCTTCCGCCTAGCTTCTGGGCTACCTAGTGGCTTTGTTAGGTAAGGATGAGCGCCAAATGATATCAATTCTGCGCCTAGTAGACATTTCTACATACAAAATGCGCGGTAATCGTAACAAGATCGTGAAAAGGAAAAAAGGCATAAGAGTCCATTGCATGCAGTCATTTCGGTTCGCAGGTCAGTTCAGACAAGACTTAATCGTCACGTTGAGCCAACCCCACGGTAGATTCTCCCTGGTTGAATACCACATAGACACTCTTGAGGAAGATGTCGCCGAGAATCTGGAAAACGGAGGTGTAAGCATGAGCTGCGAGACGGGTTAGGGAGAACTCCTACATCGAAGGGATTCGTTCCTCGGGACTGGACACCGCCAAAGAGGTACCCGCCAGACGCCTGTCCGTATGGGAAGTCGGCCGCGTTCAGCTTGAGACGATATGTTAGCACATAACAATTCTAGGCTCGCCCGTACACCGACCTTGTACATCTTGTCGCCAATCGCGAACATCAGGTCGGGGACAGTCGAGGAAGCCGGGTACATCCATCCGCCCTGGTCCTGGTCAAACTGGGCCCCGTCGATTTGGCCGTACACCTGCGACACGACGGCGTCCGAAACGAGAGCGAGAGTCGCTATGAGTGGCCTCAGTTTAGGCACTATCACCACCACAAGTGACGAGACGTACTTCCAGTGTCGAGGATAGCCGTGTTACCCGACTGTTGGAAGGTCTGACCGTTGACCGAGTAAGACTCGGAGTCAACCATCCAGAATCCCTGTGAGCTGGTGGTGTCGGACATGAGCTCCAGACCTAGAGCTGCGGCGAGGCAACCCACTTATCGACAGGCGTGTAAGTGATCGGGTGCGGAGTAACAGTCTCGTCGATCTTTCCATTCCAGTCAGCAGTCGATCCCGCACACACCACATCTCGCACGCACCGCGCCAAAACTGTAGAAACCAGCATTGTCGCCGCGATCAAGCTTGACAGTGAACAGCGGCTTCGAGATGAGTCCCTGGTCGATCATGTTCTCCACAGGGGTCTTAACAGGACGCGGCGAGACAGTGTTGATCGCAGGCCATGCAAGACCGAGAAGGCCATCGCTGCCCTCACCCTGCGCAAACTGGGCGCTCATGCGCTCCGCAAGCTCGACTGCCTGCTTTGGGATAGCGACGCCGCCGACGGTGACCGCTGGAGAGACAGAAACTGTCAGACGGAGATAGAAGAAGAAAGGGCAGTGCGCGCACTATCAAGATACACATTCCCAGACGCGGAAGAACCATCACCATACGAGATGTTCCATGACGCACCCGATTGATGCGCAGCGGTCTTGGACTTGCTTGGGTTGTAGATGCTGTGTCCCGACTTCGAGACCCGGGTGAGCTCAGAGCTGTAGGGTGATATAAGTGTGGGCGGAGGTCCAGTTACTGAAGTTTTGCGCACCTCCACACCCACAAATCAGACGAGCCTGGGGCTTGTCAGATGCAGCGTATATGCGTGCCGGAGTAGCACGCACCCGTGTCAAAGTCGAGGTGCAAGGTAACTCCAGGAGTACCGATCTGGCGGCGGTATATTAGCACGTAGCGGAAGTGAGGGAACAGGCATGAACCTTGACGGGAACGATATACTCAGAGCTGATACGATTAGCACGCGTTATTGGGAATCAAATATTTGGCGCTCACTCTGGTGAAACAGAATTAGCACACAGAGCGTAAGAAGACGCGCCACACACCATTCTGCACACTCTCCGCAGGCACATTCCCGCTCTCGCCATTCGACTTGACATGCACGACCATGTTCTGGTGCTTCCTGAACGGTGCGAACTCGGTGTGCTGGAATCCGTAGCGGTTGGCGGCACGCGCGTAAGCAGAGAAGAAGGACGGCTTCTTCCCGGAGAACTTGGGGGAGCGAGCCAGAGGGCTCAGGATGCGTGAGGCGGCCATCGTGTCTTTGTCGTCTTTCTCGGGAGCAGAAGTGGCGGGCTTGAACGGAAACAAAACAGACAAACAAGAACCCATGAAAGTGGGGGAAAGAAAGAAGTAGAGGTGGTGCTGAAGAGCCCCGCAGCGCCATCAGGGCTTATATGCCAGGCGAGATAGAAGGTTTCCAGAAATGGAAATTCGATCTGGCGGCTTCGTCATTTCAGTTCTACGCTTTCGGGTGGGTCCCAGCCATCTGCTCAGAGCCTTGTAAGATGGAAGCAGAAAATGCGCAGCCTCAGCTCATCCATTCGGAAGCCTCCCTGACAGGCCGGATTCACGCGAGAAGCCGAGTATGCATCGCGGCCCGATCATTACAAAGATAGTATCCTTCCAGCGGAGGCATCACCATGTGTAGCTGCCACCGACCATCGCCCGGTGCGATAGATATTAGGGTCGTGTGGGTCAGAGCTACCCCGATGGGCACTGAGTTCTTCGGCGTCAATCAAGATGGAGATTGGAAGACACGGACACGATACCGAGCTATTGACTGAGCAGTGTCAGAAAACGGCGAGAAGTACAAAGAACAAAGGAGAACGAACAGCTGCAACACTATGCCGAGATTCACAAGATGAGAGATAGCAAGTCAGAAGCTTATCGCTCTGACACCTTGACCTGCAAAGAGGAGATTGTCCCTAGAGGTACATTCCAAGTGACTAGCAACCGTCAACGTCATGTGCTGACGAACAAGCAGCGAGTGTAGAGGCTGACGAGATTGGGATTACTTGGGGAGCGATTACACGAGAATAGACGTACCTCTTCCCAGGAGATACCTCAATCCAGGATCCGGATCGACAACCACTCATCACCCTCCAAAGACTTTGCTCGAGCTCGTCCTCGACCACTTCGCATACATCATAGCTGCTCTAGACTTCCGTCGCCTCGAACGACCCAGGTTGTATCATTCAGCGTCCTCTCAGGCCAGGCGGACAGCATGGGCTGAAATTCAGCACTCTGTATCTTCTGCAGGTCAAATTATCATCCTAGAAATGCCCCGTCGTTGAGAGACGACCTACGCGTCCTGCCATCTCGTGCCGGAGACACTCGGAAAGATGACCATAGAAAACGTAGGCCTTGCATTCCCCCGTAGAGTCTCATTGGTAGATTAGCGCTTGAGCTGCCCGCAGTTGGAGGGAGAGAGGCTTTCGTTGTCGAGCGACTGTGGATACGACTAGCGCAGCCTGCACATGCCAATACCGGGATGGTCTCAACGTTGACACGATTTCCGAGGCGAAGGAGGACGGCGTTTTCAGAGTGCAACTCGTTGTGAGCGAGGATGAGATAGGTTTTCGGCTTTGTGGCCACGCGATGGGACTTCGAGAGCATCCACATCTCGAAGGGATTTGGTGGACGCACACCATGAGTCGCTCAGCTGCGTGACCTCCTCAGTCATGGAGTGGATCTCTAATTTAGGAGAAGGTCTTCATCGTGGGATTCGTTGAGACAGGCTGCGAGGCCAATTCAGACATCGAGAAGTATCCCGTAAGGCACACCGGATAACTCTGGACGCTTTGAACAGAGGCACACTACGCTTGTCGCTGGCTCCGCCCAGAACTTGGAAGAGGGATCCGTCGGGGCCGCGGAGTGGTGCACTGCATGATATTGAGAATTGTTCGACGAGCGCGAAGGACAGTGCAGGGGGGACGAGGGTGAGAATGTCCGAGTCACATGTGTCACCACGTGCAGTCTCGAGATCGCAGGGCTTCGTCATCTACTCGTAGGTTCGTCTCATCCGCGCTGCACTGAAGGACAATCTACCGACCATGTCACTTTCACTGGTGCACAGAAATGGATGGATTTTATCACTCATGATTCGTGTGCTTCGGCGTGAGGCCTCGCAACTGATGGAAGAATCTCACGAGGGGTCAGTGAATCGATACCATTGTAACTCTGGTCCGACTAGTATCGGGACCTCCAAGATGGAAAGCTGTATCTACTGCTTCCACCGCAACTTGGTTTCCTTCTGCACCCTGCTGTACTCCATCTCTGCTGCACTCCATCTGGATTGATGACAAGCAAATTCATGGGCCGCCCACTATGCCGCAGCTTCCTGCCGGTGCTCCAAGTTTTTCTGCGGCTCGAGGGAGGCAATGAAAGTTAGGCTCCCCGCGATGCCTGAGCTGTTGCTTTTCGGGTCGAACTGTGCTCTCTTTGTCCTCAGTAGTCGGATCAGCCCACATTCAGTCTACGGCACGCTCGATCTACTGTATGGCCTCAGTCTTGTGCAGAGGGTTGAGACACCCCATCCCACACGTTTTCGGACGCAAATACATCATCGGCCGTGACATTGAAGAGCCTTGCTGCTGCCGCTGGCCTCCGTGGCCATCATTGGACATGAAGCCTATCTAGCATGCTCGTTCTGATTACATTATCAACCACATATTGATCGATCAGCACTAGATACCGACAGTGCGAGGTCATCGCATTCAACTGCTATAAACGGTTATGGCCGCCTGAGCGAAGACAGTTTCTACGGCCTCGTCGGCCTCGACTGAGGCGGCGACCAACTGAAGTGGCAGTCAGATCTCGGACTCGGATCCCATGACGCTTGAACAGCAGTCAGTCCGGGAGACTCACAGTTCCGCAACCGCCAGCCACGATTGCGGATGTCACACGGTACGACTGTTCCACAATCTGCATGGCAGCGAATATGGTTTGTGTGTCTACGTTCGCCCGGGATCAGTAAATGCTGATGTTTGCACAGGGCGTATGTGTGGTACCTGGCGCGTGATAGTATCCCACATCCGTCAGGCTGCGGGCGAAGATCGCGGAAAGGAGCGTGGAGTTGTTGTGCAAGCTCGTGGACACATCGACGCAGCTTTCTGCGCTGAGAGACAAGTTGGTACCTGAGACGCACATGCTGACGAAGCCACCCTAGTTAGTTGCCAACGATTTCCAGCCCGCCGTGACATACTGTCCGGGGATCGTGTATGCATGCAGCTGGCCCCTATATCTCTTCAACCGCACGACTTACAGCTCTCGAAGAGGGATAAGAGGAAGGGTAGTGGTAGTAGCCCCCGAAGAGTTGGAACGAGACCTGGCTGACATTCTGGAGTCCCTGGTTGTAAGTGGTGGACTGGCAGTCGCTCGGCAGCGGTGCAGGCAGAGCCAACACGGGAGATATGAGCAGTGGAGGTACAGACAGGAGCATATTGGGGAGGTATCGCGTAGATCCAACTAGTGGCAATGGTATCGGAAAGCCCTTGGGTATGGACGGTGCGTGATTAGCAACGTCAGAGAGAGGTGCCGGTGAGGGACCTACTCGATTTCTTAGTGACACTAGTTCTAACTGGGTACGTGTCTTAAGTTGCGTGCACCTCACGTTCCGTCGGCATAGGGCGTAAAGTGATACTATCCTATCCAAATCACCATAAGTATGAAAGTAGATAATCAGATAATGCTATATCTGAATTAAATTTAGCTTCACTATGCGCGCACTTCTTCCTTGATAACATGCCAGCCTAGCTCCGTTCCCGAAGGATGAGGACTCGATCGAGACGCCATATACTCTCCCAAGGAGTATGGGCTGGGACCACACAACCGAGTCTCAACCAAACGGCGGAAGGTGGCTCATGCTCCTCGAATTTTGGATTGTGCCTTCCGAACAACTCACTCTGCTTTGAAGTCAGATCATACTACGTCATTGCCTCCTCGTCGCATAACGTTTTTTCTCGTGCTGAACGATGCGATTCTGCCCAGGTCGGCATGTCTGGTTGATGTCTGGCGTAGAAGGCATGCTGCTTGTAGATGCAGAAATTCTTCAGACGAATCGCTTGATGGCAGTGAACCAATTTGATACCTCCACTGTCTTCTTCCACAAGCATATGCGAGCCATAATAGGTGGCTCACATTGGCGGGCGTCATGTGCAATAGCTAGCGTAGAGAGTGCGATATTTGATGACTGAGGCAATTCTTTGACGGGATAAGTGCGCTGGAATGACACTGCATCCTGAGAGGGTGACGATTCAGCTCCTTTGCGCGAGGAAGACAGGTTGAAGAGGCACCGAGTTTGGTCATGTTGAGGACATGATCATTTTGGCAGTTCGAACGCTTTGCTTTGCTCTCCCAACGTGCACCGCTCCCCCGTGCCCTGCTGGGTGCTCAGTGCCTAATAAGTACGGAAATCGCTTCATCCGAATTGACCACCGTTTGATACCGACGTGCTTTTTGCTGCCGGCCAATTTTGTCTTGCGCTTCCTGGGATCGGGTGTGACCTGCTCTTATCCATAAAGACGCCGCTGCACCTCTTGTCTTGGGTATTCGTATCTCATTTATTTCACATAATTCAAAATGAAAAATAAAGCGATTGTAGCATATTTCAATTTTTAATCATCTACCTTCCTTCCGTTGTTACTCCACAACTTCACTCGAGAGCAACTCCCCGGAAACATAAGCCAGGGGGCTACTAGATCGCTCAATGTGATTGGCAGTTCGCTTCGCTCTGGTCTTTGTCGCGCTATTCGTTGCACTCGTTGAGATTGGAGAAATGACACGGAGACTACAGGGGCTGCAAGGGTAAGAGTTGACGCTCGAATGGAATAGAAATCATCTCGGTTTCGACACAAAGGGCCTCAGAAATCAACCAGAGAGATAGACAAGGCTCAAGGTCATCGACACACAGATGTGAGTCGGGCCAAGACTAGACATGAGCATAAACTCAAGCGTGTGGGAAGGAGTCGGTTGTTTAAGTTCCGAATGTTGGATTCTCTTTGCTGCGGACTATTCCTGACATCCGCCATTCAAGACGTCCGACAAAGGGAGCCAAAGAACAATGAGCGCCCGATCGAGCCAAGCCTGTCAACCATGATTCTAGTAATTTGTCATCAGCAGTTGGCATCATGATCGTATTGGATCCCTTCCCTTGTCACCGCTTTTCACCCATCTCCTCGACGACCACTCATTTCGTCGCCTCCCCCGGTCATCTCCATCTTCATCTTCATCTTCTCCACCTCTTTTTTTCTTCTATCCAATCTCTCAACGATGTCCAACCCATTCGCTGACGGCCCACATGCGATCCCGGGTGAACACCCCCCGATATATACCAACGTCAACATGCACCGCAGCGCGAGTGCCACGAGCTCAACGAGCAGTTTCGGCGGTCGGGGCGGGTACCCGAGCGCCTCTCGTGACGAGCTCATTACCTCGGAGAAACGGTCCTCGGCAGGTTCTGGGTCTGGTTCTGTTAGAGATGCCGAGAAGGTGTGTGTGCCTGTGTGGGTACGGACGATCGAGGCTGACGATATCAGTACAACATGTCTGCGGACCCTGCAGTATGGGGCGTCGACTTGACGCGCCCAGAAATTGACGACGCCCTGCATGAGCCCGAGGCCAAGTCCGCTGACGGCGCTAAGAGCGGGATCTTCACGGGGCGAGGGGTGCGCAACATAGGGTGTTTGGCGTTGATCGTCCTGCTCATTGTCGGTGTCTTGTGTGTAACGTATCTTTCTTCCGTCACTTCCTGCTAAATGCCAATTACTAGCGTGGCTTTCCCGGTGGTGACGCACTTCAGGAACCAGGCCAAGTCCAACGCAGCGGCTGCAGCTGCCAACGGCGGCGTCAATAATGCGCAGTTGCAGAATATCAGCAACGTCAGGCTCATCGACGTTCACACCCCCAAGGTGCGCGCGCGCATATGCGCGGCAGCTGGCTCGATTGTCAACTGATGCTGCCATGCAGGAAGCGTACACGATCAACGGTTACCACGACAGCACCCAGCCTATGAAACTAGTCTTTAGTGACGAATTCGAGGTCGAGGGGCGGAGTTTCTATCCCGGTGACGATCCATACTGGTGCGTTTGCCTCCCGTCCTGGAATCTCGCGCTGACGTCATATCTATAGGGAGGCGGCGGATCTGTACTATTGGTCCACAAACGATCTGGAATGGTACGACCCGAAGCAGATCACGACCAAGAATGGCGCGCTTGAGATTACGCTCGACCAGGTCGCCGACCCGACTACCAATCATAACCTGAACTACACCAGTGGAATGATGACTACATGGAACAAGGTACCACGATTTGGTCCGGTCATCAACTTCGTCGTGCTTACCACAGCGTCGCTGCACAGTTCTGCTTCACCGGTGGTCTCATCCTCGCATCCGTTACCTTGCCTGGAACGAACGACATATCCGGTCTCTGGCCCGCCGTTTGGACCATGGGCAACCTCGGACGCGCTGGATACGGCGCCACGCTTGATGGAATGGTTCGTTGATCAACCTCCTCACTGTCTGATGCTGAGCGCTTCTATCTAGTGGCCATACAGCTACGACTCATGCGACGTCGGAACACTTCCCAATCAGACCGCGAATGGAGCACCGATCGCGGCAACAGACTCTGGCGCCAACAATGGTCCGTTGTCGTTCTTGCCTGGTCAGCGACTGTCGCGTTGTACCTGCAAAGGCGAGTCCCATCCGGGTCCCCTACACAGCGATGGCACTTTTGTTGGGCGTTCGGCTCCCGAAATCGATATCTTCGAAGCTCAGATTAGTGGCAGCAATGGCAACAACTTTGGTCAGGTCTCGCAATCGGCGCAATGGGCGGTGAGTTCCACTTGCAGCTTCTTGCTGCTCAGCTGAAACATCTTCGATAGCCGTTCGACTCGGGATACAGCTGGGACAACTCGACGACAAACTTGATCATCCCGAATCCTGCTATCTCGCAGCAGAACTCATTCAATGGCAATCTCTTCCAGGAGGCTTCGTCCGTTGTGTCAAACACCAATCAGAGCTGCTACGAGCTGCTCGACGGGTGCTTCGCGATCAACGGGTTCGAGTATGTCCCGGGGTACGACAACGCGGTGTGTGACGTGCAGTGCGCTTGGCGTCGGACGGGGACTGATTGCCCGTAGTACATCACCTGGATTAGCAACAACCAAGTTTCGTGGACCTTGAACGCCGGTGCTGTTGGTCCCAACGCCCAGACGCAAGTCTCCGCTCGCCCAATCACAGATGAGCCTTTGGTGACGTGTTTTGTGTTGATCAAACCGCACGCGTGCTGACGAGCGGTTCGTTGTGCAGTACATTCTCATGAACCTCGCGATCTCACACAACTTTGCGTTCATCGACCCGAAGCTGAAGTTCCCCGCCAAGATGCGGGTCGACTGGGTCCGTGTTTACCAGCACCCGGATAAAATCAATATCGGATGTGATCCAAAAGACCGGCCGACACAGTCGTATATCAACACGTGCGTGCACCTTGCCTTATGTCTGTCTGTAGCTGACTGGCGTGTGACGCAAGGTACATCGAGGCGTATACTAACCCGAATCTGACTACATGGGTAGACGATTTCAAGCAGGTCATCCCGAAGAACAATCTGACCAGCCAGTGTTGATATTTCTGAATATTTATGCATTTGTTATACACAGCAGTTGTACAGTGCACTTTGTGAGAGCACACTCATACCCATTGTAGTGCTTGGATCATTGGAGTGGTAAGCTAACGAGCCTGACCATCCATGTGCGCTGCTGCAGACTAAGGGTTGAAACATGCGAGAACACTGAATCGCTCTCCAAGTTCTCGACGGATCCTGTTTGGATGCCACCACTTATGTGCTGAATGTGTACCTCGAATCAACAATTGCGGAGAGGTGAAGAATAATTGTTTGAGACTGGCAATATAGATCTTCACGGCACCCTAGTCGTCCCTAGCCACCGCGGTGGCTAGACACCTCTCCCCCTCATGGTGGCTATGTGAGGCTAGTCAGGGCTTGTCGGCTACTCCGAGGGTGAGCAGCTGGACCTGGAACGCAGTGACTAGGCACATGGGCTTGGTCCTCGGGGCCTGTCTGAGATATTCAATTCCTGGACGCTATTTGAATCGAAGGCGTAATCCTTCCTCCGCAGTGAAGGATACGCCGCAAGTGGCTCTCCTTTGTGGTCGTTGATAACGATTTTCAAGAGCTCGTCATGGCTTAGAATCACCAACTCTCCGTTCAACCTCGACACATCTTGTATTTAGATATCAAGTCTCTCTTCGATGACGCTCTGGCCGTCCACCGCTGCTGGCCCGTCGATGACCGCGCCCTCCCCTACAAGCCGGCGGATGATGAGGACAAGAGGGCGGAACTGGACGCGATCGGCGCCGCTGATGAAACCCTTGGAGACAGCGACAAGGAGTCTGACGACAGTTCCAAGTCCGAGAATGAGTGGACTGGCAATCTTTGGCGCAACAAGAGCGCATACGGCCTCGCTCGAGATCGGTACTTGGTGAATAACCGTGCGATGGACGTTGATGAGATTAGGCAGGGTGATGTTTTGCCGGGCAAACAGAGCACCAGTGCGGAGTCAGGAAACTCGTTGAACGCGAGTAACACCGCGAAGGAGGGCCGCTCGGTGTCTCACAACAAGAAGCGCCAATGTGAACCCGACGTCGTCTCTGGCCGATTCTCGTCCTCCCCCATCGAAAAGGTCGCGCTCTTCCGATGTTCAGATGGTCGCTGCTGCATTCTACCTGGGGCGGAGTGAGGATTGAAAGCCAGAGATTCTCGGACTCGAGCTGTAATACTCGTAGTCATCGCACCTTCGTCATGCCATACATGATGATTGCATTATAAGTTGTGTGTCTCGCTTGGCTGGGAATCTAAGGAAGTAAATATGCCCACCGTCTCATCAGCCATTCGACGAGTCGCGAGTCGTGCTTACGGCTTCCGGTCTAATGAACACCTAGTCATTCACATCCCCATCCAGGCTTTACACCTGGATAAAGACGTTTGGCACCTAAGGAACATCCGCCGCGGAGGCACCTGACCTGCCCAAATATGACAACCAATCAGTCAGCGTGATCGGATGTGTACACGCCAACCGATTGGTACTCATTCCCACTTGTTTTCATACCCTCCAGTAATACCGCTCGATACCTCCCGCAAAACGACTTGGTGCTTAGCACGCTGCGTGTTCCTCGGCACCGGGACATCATCAACACCGGTTCCGGCCCTCCGACGTCCCGGTCTATCCCGACTCTCGATGACGTGTCCCGCCGACATGTCACTGTCAACGTCCCCGACGCACAACACCGCTCGCCGCCAACCTGCCTGCCAATGCGCCTCGCCTTCGAATATCCGCAATATACCGCCTTTTGATTCTCCCTGGCGCACACCGCTCATCTCACGACAGTCTCTCGCGCTCTCTATCTTACACTAGTCACAGTGTCGGGATGGGTCTGGATCTGAAGGGATGCTATTTACGGTGTAGAGCGAGACTTTTCAATCATATCTATCTCCTCCTCCATGCTGTGAGCACCTGCAAGCTGCAGGATAAGTCTGACTAAGGATATATCCTCTTTGCCGCACCCCTTCATCCCGCTCCCTCGTTCGCTCGCTCTTGCCCCGCCGCTACCTCAGACCTCATGGCTCATGGACTCTCCAAGAAAAGCAAAGTCCGCTATGCGCGTGGAAGCGCTCGGGCCAGTGGAAAAACTGTCTCATCTATTCCACTCAACAAGTCATCAAAGCAACTCGCCGCCGCCAGGCGTTTGTATGAGGAGCAAGTACAAGGTATTGACATTCCCTTTTAGATTTCTCTTGTCTTATACCTGGCCAGGAATGAGCTACACTCAACGCGAAGAAATCATGGGCAAAGGCATAGAATCGGAGGATGTGGAGATGGGCGACGGAGAGGGTGATTATTGGGACGACAACGACGCTCCGATGTACCACACCCTTCCTCCGGGAGAGGAGGGTGTTTTGCACAGTCATGCAGGGGCAGAGGTCGTCTGGGACACTGTCGTTGAAGGCATGCGTCCGGGGTACGTTCCAATGACTTGTAATTCTTCACACCACTGTCTCATCTTCTGGAACAGCCGGGGCGATTCACGTGCCAGGAACAGACGGATACAGGAGATGGTCGATGCATGGAACCGCCATATGCCGCATCTGGTCGACGCGTACTTGGATTGGAAGGGAGGGGCGTCTTCAGACGGAGGGACGGGACAAGGCTGGCCTCTCCGAGTTCTTGGATTTGACGGTACGTTGGTTCCAGCTTCCCGCTTCTTTACCTTTCTCAGCAGGCATCCCGGAGTCCGGAATCAAGCACTTCACGCATCCACCAAGCACCATCAGTCCAAATGAAGCACTCCTTCAATGCGGCTACATTGGTGCATCCCCGGAGCAACCAGCTATTGCCTTCTCTATCCGAACATTTGAGATATACCGCCAGATACACCGTGTAACACCGTGTTTCACGATTGATTCTCTGGCTCGGGCGCTGAATTACTTGCACGAGGTGAGTTTGCGAGACAGACACGGTACATCTGATTGAAATCTAGTATCTATCGGCACCTCAAATTACAAGCTTAACACATCGGGGGACGCCCGTCTGAGGACTGCGCCGAAAAATCTGAAAAAATGCGCAAATCGTTGCTAGGGGTCCCAGGTACGATAGCGCACACCGGCGTCCCCCTTCCGGGCAATGGTGAGTGTCCCATATCGAATTCCGTGGAGGGTCTCAAAACGATCACTTCCCATCAGCACTTTTGATGGGATGGGGACGCAGAGGGCTGTTTACACAACATTCGTGTTTTTATTACATGGATCGTTAGATACATGATAGAGGATGTAGGATCCCGAATTTCACATTTTCATCTTCAGCGGTTCTTGTGGAATTACACAATCTCTCCGCGCAGCCATCACTTGCAGCCATCAGCTCAACATATGGGGACGCAGAGGGTCTGTGGTCTATCTAAAACAGCCGGAAGTTCCGGAAGCATTATATGATACATATAGAACACTCAAAATAATATATATACTGCGTTGTGGAAGGTAGGAGACGAGACAATCTCGTCGAACATCTCTCGAGTCACGCCTTGTGACCAGCGTCACATCAGCTTGCACGATCATCGCCGCCTCTGCTCATACATCTGACCAGGCAATCGCGGCCACCAACGAACGCAACGAACGGGTGTGGGGTGGATGGGCTGGGGGGCTTGGGCTAGGGCTCGGGCAGCAGAGGATGTGGGGCGAGTGGAGGGAGGGTTTCACGGAAACAGGGGGACGACAGGTGAGTGCACACCATGCAATCTAACCCAGCCCTCAGATCCTGAACCAACGCGACGCCCCCAGCGGACGTATATACACCTCACTCCCACCTCATCCAATCGAAGCGAGCGTTTATGCGCGCAAGGGCGCACATAGGTCACTTGTCTACGTATTAACTCTTGAATGCATGCCTTCTACACTGGTCTTCTATCGCGCGCGACGCTGTGCTCTCCGCCCAGCTCTTCTCAGTCGACAACCCGGGCCGTGTACTGTCGTCCACTCTGCCTGTAACCGAGTACGCGGAGGAAGCGTTTGCCGCTCCTCCGTCACCATCGCTACTGTCTCAAACGCTCGGGGAACGCTCGACTTCCTCTTCCACTCCTCCGACCCTCGACTCGGTATAGCAAGCTTCTTAGGGCGTCGGAGCTTGGCGGATCGAAACGGTATGTGCTCTGCGCTCGCATGAGCAGCTCGCTGACGCTGTGCTTGGCCAGAGACGGACTGTGCGCATGAGCTGACCCTGGACTGTGCGCCTGACGAATTGGGCGCGAGGATGGAAACCGATTTCACGCGCCTCATCACCCCCAATCGCGTCCCAACAGTGGAAGAACGTGCATCCATGCAGACCCGGCTGGAATTCCTGCAGGGGCACCTGCAATCGCTGAGCGCCGCTCTACTCGCGGCGTATACGACATTCTCTGCGCATCGTCGGGCTGTACAGGAATCCATGGAAGCCCTTCGTTCAGTCATCTCCGTAACTCATGGACTCCCCGACGACATCCTCTGCAAGATCTTCCACGCAACCGTCCCTCCTGATCCGCACATGAGCACGAAAGAAGCACCCCGAGTCCTCGGCCGGATCTGCTCCGGATGGCGTTGTCTCGCATATTTGACAACACCCGACCTGTAGAGGAACGTCCATGTCGTCGTCCTGGACAAGGCGCATTTAAGCCGAGTCTGTGACGCGGTGGACGAGTGGCTATCTCGTTCAGGCGCCTTAGGCCTATCCGTCAGCCTAGCCGTGTCAGACGCATGCGAGCCTGATTCGGATAACATCGCGACGGTGATTGACGTCCTAACGCGCTTCTCTACGCGCTGGCGTCGCGTGAAGCTCACTCTCTAACCGTAACGCCCTTCCTTCATTGCCCGGTGACATGCTGAACAGACTGATCCACGCAGGTGAGATGATCCACGCCAGCCTGGACGGGGCTGTGCCCCAGCGAGACCACCAGCGTGCCGATCCTGCCGTGCGCGCGTTGCTGGTTCTCTTGTCTGAAGGAGTCTTCACGTTTTGCAGACGATCGCGGAGTGGGCGCGGTTTTTCACGGACGACGGCGTCAAGGGCAATTCGAATCCGATCTATGCGCCGTTCCGGATAACGGACCGGTGCTACGCGTCATCAGCATTCGCGCCGTATGCCTATTCCGCGAGTGACCAGTTGTGGCGCCGGATCTTGGGTGCGCTGCGTCGTCGTCCGATTTCTTCCACACTCCGGACTCCAGACCGGATACTAGTGTGTGGTTCCTGGATGTCGATGGTGCACGACGAGACGCTGCCCTCCGTGCCTTACACGTGCGTCCGCCCGATTGATCTGGTCGACTGGGTCGCTCAGAGTCTTGCACACTCACAGGTACACGCCGAATTACGGCTGGGACTACGCCGGGAATCCGATCACTCATACTCCCACCCCTCACTACTACTGACGTGGTGTACACGCATACATATACTCATTATTTAATATTGGGAACGCATGCATGTCCGTGTGGGACGACATAAGCTAGAACTGCTCCACCGTCCCCCGCCGCTCGGAAACGACAGCGACGACCTTGCTCGCCATGTCGAACACCCCGCCACCGCGGTACGCAACGAGCTCCTCCGTGCGCGAGTCCAACCTGAGCACGCGGTCAATGTTGGTCGACGCCATCGCATGCGTTGTCGCGCGATCGATCACCCCGGCGGACTTTACCTGCGTCATGGACATGTCGAATCGGGCGCTGTGCGCGAGGTAAACCTGTTCGATGCCGATGCCGACGTTAAAGCCGTGTTTGAGCAGGATGGTGAACGACAAGTCCTGCGTGAGTGGCGAGCCGGGGATGCTTCGTGTTAGGGTCAGCGCCTGCAGGTACGTACATACATTGAAATATGTGGTCCTCACCTCCTGCGCATCTCGAACGTCGCGGGGAACGGCTTCCCTGGGGCAATGACGACACTGACCCCGGCCTGCGCGATCTCCGTGGCGAGCAGGTGCGCCTCGAACGCCCAGTGAACGCCATGCGCAGGACGCCCCCCTGTGCGCTCTTCGGCCTCACGCTTGAGATCCAGTAGCGTCGCCATGACATCCGCGCTGTGCATGATGACCACCAGCAGGATCGCGCCGTGTTGAGCATGCACGGTCAGCGCGGCTGAGAGCGAGACCAAAAACCCTCACCCGATTTTGCAAAGTACTTCTGCTGGTCCTCCGTCTTGCCGAGTCCCTGTGCGACGAGTCCGATCCCAAAGTCGTTGTACCCGTAATCCAGTAGTCACGAGGCGCTTCTGGTGTTGGGGCCCTCGTTCGGCGGGTTATCGGACGTGTCGTTGACGGGGAGTTGTAGTAGAAGTCATCGCACCAGATGCAGTAGAAACCGGGTTAGGGTAATGTCGATCAGGCACCGCCTTACTTAATTCCAAGCAGCTTGCAACGTCATTACACGTGACTCGTCCATATCGACATGCTGTTTGCGACCTTCTACTCTCGACTACATTCGCCTGTGTGAGTCCCACCCCCTTTGATCGCACATGCCGCCAGTGGTCTGAGCTCAACGGCGCAGACTGCCACACTGCTCACGTATGGGTACCGGCTATTCAACTGCGTGGAGTACCACAAAACGCACCCACCATATGAGGGCAATGGCGACGCGTGCGCGGTACCCATGGTCGACGCGATTGGCGACGGTGCAGCTCGCCGGCCAGATTTCTCGAACATGTGGCCTCACATCGCAGGGCGCCTCTAGCTATCTGCGTCATCACACGCACGCGCAGCTATACAGTCATCTCCCACTTGCACCGATCGCACACCTCGCAACGACCGACTCTTGGAGACCGGCAAACAGAACCGGGATATAGATTTCAGGTGCTCGGGACAGGGAATTCGATGCGCGAATGGGCGGAGCGCACGGAAGTCGATGGGGGTCGATCTGCCGGTGCGTTTCTTCTCACCACCTACCTCTCACTGTCCGCTCTAGCTCCTGCTGTCCGCCATCTCGAAATATCGCGCCGCAAGGGGCGTTCATTGCGCATCTCGGAACCGGACCCAGGCCTGCCTCATGTAAACTCAGCGCCGACCGCGTCTACCTTTCTATTGCATTCAACGCGCACCCTCAGCTCGCAACTTGCGACGAACGACTTTTGGCGACCGGACCAACACAAAAACCCGGAGGTGGATGGGGGCCAAGTCCGCAGGTGCGTTTCTCAGCACCTCCACATCTCAGTGTCTGCTCGCCTTACGTCCCGTGCCGCATCCACAGCGAAAAGTCACCTGCATGTGCTTAAACTGCGCCCTGAAACCTGCTGATTTTCCAGAGGTCCGACGAGGAGGTGCAGTCTTAAGAGTACTACGCCATTCTTGGCTGACTTGAACTACAGGTTCTCAAGGTTGCTATCGCTCTGGGCTCGAATCTCGGCGATCGATTCCAGAACATCGAACTCGCGCTTCGTTTGCTCCAATGTCCCGAGACCCCAAAACCGGCGCGCCACTCGACGGGCTCAGCAACGGAAGCGCGTCCTCGGAGACGAAAACGCAGCGCCGGGTGCGGGAGGAGATCCCTGAGATGACTTGTCTGTCCGTCAAAGGAACAGAATCCGTCTGGCGTGAATCGTGAACCTAAGGGTATCTCCGCCTTCAGTCCATCAGCCGTGTATTGCCTTGTCATGTCCTCAGCTCTCTGTTTCTTAAGCTTGCTCCATACAGCTTAATCTCATGGTCTGGTCTCGTTTCCTTCTTCACTGTCATTTCTTCACAGCCTGATCGTCGTCATCGACAATGGACTACGACTCCTTTGATGCGCTCGTCCAGTACCTCTTCAAGAAGGTTCGCGTTCTTGCGCGTCCCTCCCGTCCAGTTGACGCTTGGTTCAAACCTTCAGAGGAGAATGTGTCCGCCGGTGTCTGTCTCCGCGTCGAGCCTGGCCATTTCCGCGTGTTCCCTTATGAAAACCCCTTCCTCATTCTGTTTGAAGCCGCCGCCCGCAGTCTGAACCCCCTCGTCGCCATCAAGGTCCGCAGTGCCGCCTTCCACGCGGCCCTGGCCACGGTGTATTCTGAACTCCGAATGGCGCTCTGACAAGGACTGACGCGTTTTTCAGTTCGGAAGACGCGACTGCCATCTATATCGACCATGACACGCGCATCCAGATTGTGGACATCATGGCCCATCTCCCTCAAGCCAAGAAGAAGCAATCCGGCGCATCCTTGGTGAGCACTCACCGTTCGACTGGGCCTCTCATAAGCAACTCACGCCACCTCCAGCGCGACGAACGAGTCCTCATCGTTTGGTCTGATGATATCGACACCATCGTCCCGCACTGCGCCGACTTTGAGGAAAAACTGATGAAGCTCGTCTGGCGTTTCCGGACGCAGAATGGGAGCGCGTCGGTCATCACCTCAGGCTCCGTCGGGGCTCCATCAACCACTGCTTCCGACGTCAATTTGACGGAGAAGCCCGCTCTTGGGCCGATGACGGAAGGCGGGCTCAATATTGACGCCGCTGCGGCTGCGCATGCGGAGAAGACGCAGGCGCCGCCGAAGAAGAACCGAGTATGTGGGTGGTGGAAGTTGGGCTCGAAGAGCTCTGGGACAGCGCCTGGGGATCCAGAGAAGCAGCAGGCGCGGAAGGAGATGCGCCCAATCCGGCAGTTTGCGCCGTTCCACAACGGGCTGGGTGCTGGGCTTGCTGACTGTGAGTCCTTGCATTCCTCCTGTCAGTCGCTCTATTGACAATTTTCCAGTTTTCATAGCCAGTGGTGCTGAGATCCTCCTGGCCGAATGGCGCCTCGATGGCAAGTTTTCTTGCTTCGGGCTGATTGCTACTATGCCATTCCTCATCTGTGTTGTGCTGGTGAGGACTTACGGGTCTGACGTTATCCCATGATTAACTTTTTCAGTTCTTTGCACTTCAAGTAATCGCCGCTATCTCATATCTGTGCGTTTTGGCTTTTATGTACTAGGCCTTGGTTGACACTCGGCGTCAGAGTTGGCGCTGTCGCACAGTATTATGAAAACTCATGATAGTACTCTGCGATCCGCCCTGAACCGAGTCCGGAGGTCGACGCACAGTTGCCTCTTGTCGCGGTGGAGCTTCCGGTTTAGGAGAGCCTCGAGGAAACGATGTGCGCCCATCCGTTCTATCTACTGGATCATGTTTCTGACTCAGACGCTCTCAGTGCACCCTCAGTCTTTTCGCTGAGAAGGCCATGCAAACGTATGCTCGACAGGGAGGTACTTCTGCCATCTTCATGCACAACGACAGTCTTCAACTCTTGAGCGGGGCCGAACGCGAGAAACGGATTACGTTCTACACCGACAAACACAACATTGGCTGGGTCACTCGGCCGAAACACAAGGATTCACCCGATGGTTTCAAGGTCCGCATGATTCCACATACTATCACCAGGTGCTCGACTGTAGAGTTTAGCGTGCGGTGATTCAAGAAGACGTCTAACATGAACTACGGGTTGGCACTATCACTCAGGATAGAGTCTAAGATCCTCGAACTGGAAGCTCAAGAACGGATGGGCCAAGTCGTCGTCGGTGATGACGAATGCCTCGAAGACCGGGCCCTGGCGCTTGCCATCGAAGAGGTGTATCAGGAGAACAGTGAGAAGTGGCGGCCCTGGGCCAGGAATGCCCGCTCGTTGCGCGTCGGCGAGGTCATCCTCATTGTGAATTCGGATGCGATTGTGCCTGAGGTTTGTGGTCCTCGGTTTCCTCATTCATCCAGTTATTCATTCATCTGTAGGACTGCTTCCGTGACGCCCCCCGTGAACTGGCCAAGTCTCCTGATGTCGCTATCATTCAGCATGAGTCCAGTTCGTTGATCATCTGTTGCTAGCGGATCCTTCTGCCTAGCTAGTGCCCAGATGTAATGCAAGTCGCTCGCCACTACTTCGAAACCGAATCACGCAATTTACTCGACGGATCAACAAGTGTATCTCGATGGGCTGCGCTAATGGTGAAGTCGCTCCGTTCGTAGGGCACAATGTGTTCTTGCGTTAGTCGGCAATCCAAGATGCTGCTTTCATCGACTACGACGGCAAGAGGAAGATCTGGTCCGAAAGCAACGTCTCCGAGGGCTTTGACATGGCACTTCGCTTGCAGCTCCAGGATTGTAGCATTCGATGGGCAACGTACTCAGAGGGTGGATTCAAAGAGGGTGTATCATTGAGGGTGGATGACGAGTTCAACTGGGACAGAAGCATTCGTATGGTGCAGGCTAGGTGCTTTTGCTCGTTGGCTGAGTGCTCATTCGTTTCCAAGGCTGCAACGAGCTCATCGTTAATCCGATGAAGGACTGGTGGCGTATGGGACCGGTCACAAAGCAATCGAGGGTTCGTCTGGTCTCTCCTGTAAGTGAAGCATCGATTGAAGATATAATAGACATTCTACTGGTCCGGTGCACCACTCCACTACAAGATAAGCATGTCCTACATGTTCGAGTCAGGCAGGTCAAATGTCCTCGAGTGCAAGCAGGTTGACGATCTCAGCAGCGCAGTAAAGTGGCTATAGAGCAATCCGGCATTTCATTCGATTCCAGCATAGATGACATGTTGTTCTAAGTGTAAACAAATGATTTAACTGACAAGCTTATTTATGAGTGGCTCTGTTTTCAATACTGTGTTTATGAACACATTTTTGAATTGCCAGGCAATTACTAACGCACGATCACTGTGCCCGACAGTAACACTGTGTGAGGGACCATCAAGAACTGAAGGGTCTGGTTTGAAGATGGCTTTGTGCAAGTGGGATTGTAAACTTCGATTGTATGTTTTATGGAATTGCAGATAATTGAAAACTCGTCTAGAATGAATAAAATGCTTTCCTTGAGAGATGGAACGGTGAGGTAAGAATATGCATCACATGACGGAAAGGATGCCATAAGGAAATAGCCTAGATGAGAAGGAGGACATGGTGGGTTGAAAAGAAGACGGGTTGATGGAGGCAACAGAACGGACCAGTGGGGAGACAGAAACGGTGCGGAAAACTGAGACCCAGCTGACCATCTGCGAGTTAGGTACTGTATCTGATCTGAATCAGCGAAAGGGACTGATCCGCAGAGCGAGTTGAAGAAGAGCATAAACAGAGCACATCTGATGGACACACCCAAACACCCAACTCATCACAGCGAGTCACACACCAGATCAGCTGACCAGAGACATTAATGACCCCATCAGAGGCATTTTCGCACACAATCTGACCGACGTTTTCGCAGAACATAAACAAGCAAGCGAGACAGAGACCGTGACACACAGCGAGATCCGGGCCCCAATCCCACACCCATGGGACAGTTAGCAGGTTAGGAAAATTCCCGTTTCAACTCCAAAAGTGAAACAGCTTGACAGCGGCCCAGTCGGGAGACTAGTGCGGAAAACTGAGACCCAGCTGACCATCTGCGAGTTAGGTACTGTATCTGATCTGAATCAGCGAAAGGGACTGATCCGCAGAGCGAGTTGAAGAAGAGCATAAACAGAGCACATCTGATGGACACACCCAAACACCCAACTCATCACAGCGAGTCACACACCAGATCAGCTGACCAGAGACATTAATGACCCCATCAGAGGCATTTTCGCACACAATCTGACCGACGTTTTCGCAGAACATAAACAAGCAAGCGAGACAGAGACCGTGACACACAGCGAGATCCGGGCCCCAATCCCACACCCATGGGACAGTTAGCAGGTTAGGAAAATTCCCGTTTCAACTCCAAAAGTGAAACAGCTTGACAGCGGCCCAGTCGGGAGACTAGTGCGGAAAACTGAGACCCAGCTGACCATCTGCGAGTTAGGTACTGTATCTGATCTGAATCAGCGAAAGGGACTGATCCGCAGAGCGAGTTGAAGAAGAGCATAAACAGAGCACATCTGATGGACACACCCAAACACCCAACTCATCACAGCGAGTCACACACCAGATCAGCTGACCAGAGACATTAATGACCCCATCAGAGGCATTTTCGCACACAATCTGACCGACGTTTTCGCAGAACATAAACAAGCAAGCGAGACAGAGACCGTGACACACAGCGAGATCCGGGCCCCAATCCCACACCCATGGGACAGTTAGCAGGTTAGGAAAATTCCCGTTTCAACTCCAAAAGTGAAACAGCTTGACAGCGGCCCAGTCGGGAGACTAGTGCGGAAAACTGAGACCCAGCTGACCATCTGCGAGTTAGGTACTGTATCTGATCTGAATCAGCGAAAGGGACTGATCCGCAGAGCGAGTTGAAGAAGAGCATAAACAGAGCACATCTGATGGACACACCCAAACACCCAACTCATCACAGCGAGTCACACACCAGATCAGCTGACCAGAGACATTAATGACCCCATCAGAGGCATTTTCGCACACAATCTGACCGACGTTTTCGCAGAACATAAACAAGCAAGCGAGACAGAGACCGTGACACACAGCGAGATCCGGGCCCCAATCCCACACCCATGGGACAGTTAGCAGGTTAGGAAAATTCCCGTTTCAACTCCAAAAGTGAAACAGCTTGACAGCGGCCCAGTCGGGAGACTAGTGCGGAAAACTGAGACCCAGCTGACCATCTGCGAGTTAGGTACTGTATCTGATCTGAATCAGCGAAAGGGACTGATCCGCAGAGCGAGTTGAAGAAGAGCATAAACAGAGCACATCTGATGGACACACCCAAACACCCAACTCATCACAGCGAGTCACACACCAGATCAGCTGACCAGAGACATTAATGACCCCATCAGAGGCATTTTCGCACACAATCTGACCGACGTTTTCGCAGAACATAAACAAGCAAGCGAGACAGAGACCGTGACACACAGCGAGATCCGGGCCCCAATCCCACACCCATGGGACAGTTAGCAGGTTAGGAAAATTCCCGTTTCAACTCCAAAAGTGAAACAGCTTGACAGCGGCCCAGTCGGGAGACTAGTGCGGAAAACTGAGACCCAGCTGACCATCTGCGAGTTAGGTACTGTATCTGATCTGAATCAGCGAAAGGGACTGATCCGCAGAGCGAGTTGAAGAAGAGCATAAACAGAGCACATCTGATGGACACACCCAAACACCCAACTCATCACAGCGAGTCACACACCAGATCAGCTGACCAGAGACATTAATGACCCCATCAGAGGCATTTTCGCACACAATCTGACCGACGTTTTCGCAGAACATAAACAAGCAAGCGAGACAGAGACCGTGACACACAGCGAGATCCGGGCCCCAATCCCACACCCATGGGACAGTTAGCAGGTTAGGAAAATTCCCGTTTCAACTCCAAAAGTGAAACAGCTTGACAGCGGCCCAGTCGGGAGACTAGTGCGGAAAACTGAGACCCAGCTGACCATCTGCGAGTTAGGTACTGTATCTGATCTGAATCAGCGAAAGGGACTGATCCGCAGAGCGAGTTGAAGAAGAGCATAAACAGAGCACATCTGATGGACACACCCAAACACCCAACTCATCACAGCGAGTCACACACCAGATCAGCTGACCAGAGACATTAATGACCCCATCAGAGGCATTTTCGCACACAATCTGACCGACGTTTTCGCAGAACATAAACAAGCAAGCGAGACAGAGACCGTGACACACAGCGAGATCCGGGCCCCAATCCCACACCCATGGGACAGTTAGCAGGTTAGGAAAATTCCCGTTTCAACTCCAAAAGTGAAACAGCTTGACAGCGGCCCAGTCGGGAGACTAGTGCGGAAAACTGAGACCCAGCTGACCATCTGCGAGTTAGGTACTGTATCTGATCTGAATCAGCGAAAGGGACTGATCCGCAGAGCGAGTTGAAGAAGAGCATAAACAGAGCACATCTGATGGACACACCCAAACACCCAACTCATCACAGCGAGTCACACACCAGATCAGCTGACCAGAGACATTAATGACCCCATCAGAGGCATTTTCGCACACAATCTGACCGACGTTTTCGCAGAACATAAACAAGCAAGCGAGACAGAGACCGTGACACACAGCGAGATCCGGGCCCCAATCCCACACCCATGGGACAGTTAGCAGGTTAGGAAAATTCCCGTTTCAACTCCAAAAGTGAAACAGCTTGACAGCGGCCCAGTCGGGAGACTAGTGCGGAAAACTGAGACCCAGCTGACCATCTGCGAGTTAGGTACTGTATCTGATCTGAATCAGCGAAAGGGACTGATCCGCAGAGCGAGTTGAAGAAGAGCATAAACAGAGCACATCTGATGGACACACCCAAACACCCAACTCATCACAGCGAGTCACACACCAGATCAGCTGACCAGAGACATTAATGACCCCATCAGAGGCATTTTCGCACACAATCTGACCGACGTTTTCGCAGAACATAAACAAGCAAGCGAGACAGAGACCGTGACACACAGCGAGATCCGGGCCCCAATCCCACACCCATGGGACAGTTAGCAGGTTAGGAAAATTCCCGTTTCAACTCCAAAAGTGAAACAGCTTGACAGCGGCCCAGTCGGGAGACTAGTGCGGAAAACTGAGACCCAGCTGACCATCTGCGAGTTAGGTACTGTATCTGATCTGAATCAGCGAAAGGGACTGATCCGCAGAGCGAGTTGAAGAAGAGCATAAACAGAGCACATCTGATGGACACACCCAAACACCCAACTCATCACAGCGAGTCACACACCAGATCAGCTGACCAGAGACATTAATGACCCCATCAGAGGCATTTTCGCACACAATCTGACCGACGTTTTCGCAGAACATAAACAAGCAAGCGAGACAGAGACCGTGACACACAGCGAGATCCGGGCCCCAATCCCACACCCATGGGACAGTTAGCAGGTTAGGAAAATTCCCGTTTCAACTCCAAAAGTGAAACAGCTTGACAGCGGCCCAGTCGGGAGACTAGTGCGGAAAACTGAGACCCAGCTGACCATCTGCGAGTTAGGTACTGTATCTGATCTGAATCAGCGAAAGGGACTGATCCGCAGAGCGAGTTGAAGAAGAGCATAAACAGAGCACATCTGATGGACACACCCAAACACCCAACTCATCACAGCGAGTCACACACCAGATCAGCTGACCAGAGACATTAATGACCCCATCAGAGGCATTTTCGCACACAATCTGACCGACGTTTTCGCAGAACATAAACAAGCAAGCGAGACAGAGACCGTGACACACAGCGAGATCCGGGCCCCAATCCCACACCCATGGGACAGTTAGCAGGTTAGGAAAATTCCCGTTTCAACTCCAAAAGTGAAACAGCTTGACAGCGGCCCAGTCGGGAGACTAGTGCGGAAAACTGAGACCCAGCTGACCATCTGCGAGTTAGGTACTGTATCTGATCTGAATCAGCGAAAGGGACTGATCCGCAGAGCGAGTTGAAGAAGAGCATAAACAGAGCACATCTGATGGACACACCCAAACACCCAACTCATCACAGCGAGTCACACACCAGATCAGCTGACCAGAGACATTAATGACCCCATCAGAGGCATTTTCGCACACAATCTGACCGACGTTTTCGCAGAACATAAACAAGCAAGCGAGACAGAGACCGTGACACACAGCGAGATCCGGGCCCCAATCCCACACCCATGGGACAGTTAGCAGGTTAGGAAAATTCCCGTTTCAACTCCAAAAGTGAAACAGCTTGACAGCGGCCCAGTCGGGAGACTAG